GTAAAAAATTTAAAAAATGATTATCAAGTTTATCATAATTACTATTGTTTTAACATATTTTATAACAAACAGTATTGAGTTAAACCAATGCAATGGCCGGTCATGTGGTGGTAATGGTCTAACCGGAGGAGGACTATGTTGTCCGGGCTATGTATGCGGTGGATGTCCATGTTATCCGCGTACTTGTGTACCGATTCACACGTGCGGCAAACTAAACAGCACGTGCTCAAAACAACACGGTTGCTGTCCATGGCATACGTGCGACCCTGATACAAATACGTGTCAAAGTTTAGCATGTTTAACAATTGAGTGCAAACCTATTAATTAAAACTGTTTATGTAATTTATATATATATATATTAAATCATTTATACAATAAAAACCAGCTGAGAATGCTTTAAAAGCATTTCCACACGAATTCCTTAACTTAAAAAGGAAAAAAACCAAAAAAAATTTTGTAGCGGAGCCTGGATTCGAACCTATGTCCTCGTGGGACAGACAGACGGACAGACGGACAGACTTTTAGAATGCATATACGTATTCCTTTCAGGAATTCGTGAATATTTATATATATCTTTATTTGATTAAATCCTACACAATATTATTGTATAAAACTACACTAAAATTTGTGATTTACTATATATTTTTAAACTAATAAAATATTATTCAGTACTGTATTTGGAGATCAATATATAGATTATTTTAGATAATTGTTGTTTTTAATATACAATTGTGTGTAGATTTTAAAGTAATAGGAAAATACTATTAACTAAAATTATAAATAATTTTATGACTTTTAATTTTTTTTATAAATTATTTCATATATTTATTAATTAAATTAAAACCAATTTGTTATGTTCTAATAAAATTATTAATAAACAAATATTTTTAAAAATATAATTTAGATATTGAAATTAATACAATGATTTAATTAATTAATACTGGATTTATTTTTCGCTTTATAAATGTGTAACTATTAATATTTCTTACATTTTAGTCATTTAATATATTATTATATACTGTATTAAGTATCGGTATCTGTATTTTACTGCTGACTATTTTTTTATATTTTATCTTATTATTGCATTATTATTATTAACAGTATAAATGTTTAACTAATATTGTAAAAAAGTTAGTAAAAAAGTTTTTCAATGCTGAATAATAACTTTTAGTTATCATTAAAGCATTTAAAACTTTTTTTACTAACTTTTTTACAATATATTTAGCAAATCTTAGTCATAATTTACAATTTATAATCAATAATATTGTTTATTTTATAATATTATATCAATATATGTTTTCATCATTAATAATAACATTTTATTAGAAAACAAAATAATTATAAGTCGTGAGTATATAATTCAAAATCATGAACACATTTGACTATTTATAATATAAAACTTTTTCTAATATTTTTATATAACTATAAAAAATTATATACTGTACTGTGTTATACATACTAGTTATGAAAACTGTTGTCTATTTAGCACTAGCTATATGTCTAGTATGCTATCTCTACCCAATGGGTACCGGTGCTAAATCATTGGACGATGTTGCTGGATTTTGTAAATGGCTTAAGAAAAAGTATAGCTATGGATGTGATGGTCCACTGGCACGTGGACTATACGGTACATACATGCGATATAAATATGGTGTTACCGATTGTAACTCCTTGTGCGTAAATTATCGTCGTCGATGGCGTGGCGGTAGCTGTCAACCGGGTTCAGAGGACAACAGTACGTGGTGTCCAACGGGACAACACTGTCGATGCAAAAAATAAGATATCATATATTAAGTCATATATAATATGATAAAAGTTTCAGATAAATATAATTATAAATACAGTATATATGTTATATTATATTAAATTTATAATTAATTAAATGTTTATACAATTTTTTTAATTAATTAAATGTTTATACAATTTTTTAATTAATTTTTGTTTAAAAATTGTATCAAATATTGTTTTTGTTTTAAACTATAATCTAAATTTCATTTGAGATTTTTAAAAAGTTTACAAAATAAATAAAAATTAATTAATTATCAAATAATTACTAATTTTTATTAATTCTGTATTTATTTTATTTTTATCATATATATTGTTTGTTAGAAATCTATTTTACTCATAATTATTAAACAAAATAACTTAATTGGCATTTAATTATTTTAATTCTAAACTTTAAAACAACAATTTTATAGATATTAATAATTAAAATATTTATCAGTTATTACAATATTATTATTGGTTATTTTAATAATTATAATTTACATAAATATTGGAAAAAGTCTATTGTTTTATTATAATATAAAAACATTTTTTATATAAACATTAATATTATACTAGTCATAAAAAATATGTGATTGTACTCATATTATTATAATTTTTTTTAAAAAATTGTTATTTCATAATATACATATTTTTCTCTAATAGCCTTGATAATTAATAACTACATATTGAAAAAATAACTATATAATAAACTTGCACATTTTTCTAATCATACATTATTAGAGAAAAAAATTCTTGTAAAAAGTAATATTTTTATTTAATATTTATATTTTTGTTTATAATTTTATAAAAGTTGTAAAAATTAGATTAGTTAAATATACTAAAAAGTTTTTTTAAAACATATTTTTAAAAAATTAATAATGTCATCAATGTTATTTTCTAGTATTTATATATGCATGTTGATAATGCTGTCGATGATGACCTACCAGGCACTGGGCTATCGTACATTTGATTGCGATGAACCCGATGGTCACTATCCCTTTTATTATGATTGTTCAAAGTTTGTAATATGCTCACACGGCACCGGGCATTTATTAGACTGTGCAACGGGAACACTATGGAATGACCGGATTAAAACATGCGACCATCCATACAATGTTAATTGTTATCATTAATTTTTAGTAAATAATTTCAACTAAATTATTTATATTATTAAATGATATACTAGCTAATGTATTTTTCTAATATTATATCAATATATTATTTTTAAAATATATAAAAATACTAATAAAATTTAATATAAATTAGATAATAAAGAAAATAATTAAATAAAAAATGATATGAATGAAATTTATTTATTTTTGTATTTAATATAAAATATTTTTATTTTATTAATAAAAATAGAATATATTTATAATATAAAACTAATTATTATTATATTGGATAGACTTTTATTGTTATTTTTTAAAAATATAATTACATGCTTCAATTTATATAAATTATTTATTTATTTTATTAATGTAAATTAATTTATGATAAATTAGTAAAAAATTGAATCAAAATAGTCTAGACTTTAGACTAATTAATAGTAAATTAGTAATTATACTTAATAAAGATATTTAATATATAAAAATATTTTAATGTCAGCATAATTATAAATGTGTTGACTTTATAATTATACAAAAAATAATGATAATTTATTTTTCATATAAAATTCCTATAATCAATAAACTGGTACTATAAAAAAGATCAAATTTATTTTTTGACAAAATTAATTATTTATACTAATTTTTCTGACCCAAAAACTAATAAAAAAAAATTGTAGGAAAAACTTATTAAAAATAAAATTAAAAAAATCATCTTAGATAGAGTATTATGCACATTTTAAATATAATTATTAACATGATAATTAATATTAATTTTTTTTATTATTATATACATTATTTTACTAAAAAAATTATCACTAAAACTTATAGTATAAAAGTAGACTGAGAGTTTAATAATTAAAAATATATTATCAAGGATAAATTTATAATCTATCAAATATTGTTAAGTTAACAACAACAATAACAAAAAATGTTGTTCAATAAAATTACACTTACTTTATTTAATTGTGGCAATCATATTGATCAGTAGTGGCCAGTCGGGTCGGGTAACTCATATAATTACCGGCACCGATTGTCATCTGGGTCAAGCAATATGATGTGAATAATAAAAAAAATTAATTTTAATTAAATTATATATATATATATTGTTGAAAACAAACCCTGTTGTAAGTCTATACAATTTTGTTGAAGATATGCTTAAATTGGATTAATATATTTTTTTATGTATAATATTAAATCTTGATTAATATGATTATTTAATTAGTACTAATTAGTTATTTATTAAAATTAAATGTTTAAATCTAAAGTATTAATATAATACAGTACTTACAGTATTTATACTATTTATATATATTATGTACAAACTGTAACAAAATTATATTATCATATAATATGGTTTTTTTTGTAAATCATTTTTATAATGCTTAGAAAGTTTTTCAGATTTCTATTTTTTGTCAAATTGTTTATACTATTGTTTATTATTATTATATTTATTTAAATTACAATATTTTATTATTTATAGATAAAATTATAAATATATAAATTATTTAATTTAAAAAACAATAAATTTTAATGCCATTAACTACTTTCATAGGAATAGAAAATTATTTGATTTAATAGTTTAGATTTTAAATATCATTAAATTTATAGTAATTAAATAACTTTTTTTTAAAAAAATTAAATTTTTATTTTGCATTTAATTGGAGTTATTTTTATTAGTTCAGTCAAAAAAATAATTCAAACATTAAAATAAACTTTTTGTTATTGTATTGAATTACAATTGTCAAATTCCTATTAAATCTTAAAAATAAAATAAATGTCTAATATTTATACTACTAATATAATATACAATATACTATAATATTTAAACTTTTACTATTTAAAAACTGTAATATAATTCAAATATATTTATAATATAGTTTTATAAAAGTATATGAATTTTATTTATTTAGATTTAATATTACGTCAATAATTTTGTTAATATATTTAGTTTTTTTCCAATTTAAAACTAAATAAATAAAACTAATATTTAATACTATAATAAAATTATTAGTTACTATGAAAAAATATTTTTTGCAATTTTGTATTTAATTTATTTTTGTTTTTGGTTAATTCAATTGAAAATAGTCATAAAATTAAAAATAAACTTTTTTGTTATTGTATATTACATTACAATTTTTCAATTCCTAATAAATCCTTAAACACTTGAAAAGCAGCCTCGGGTTTATCTTTGGGAACCATATGTCCGGCACCTCTGACCAAAACAAACTGCAATCCCTTTTCGTAGCGTTCAATGTAACCACCGATCACACCGTCAGGCTTTCCATCAACTGTCCAGTGACTATACGGTAGAAAATACAGGAATTTTTTTTTCATACATATGTGTAACAAATCACTACTTATGTGATGACAACCTTACCTATAAAGGCCTTGACGCTGATAGCCGAGTGCTTCAACAAATCGTTGATCTTCAATAAAATCGCAGATCAAATCAAAATTGCCGTTATATACTGTCACCCGTTTGAGGCCATACTTGTCGATCAGGTCGCGTATGTTATCGTGTTGTGGTGTTAGCCCCTGCAGTATGTTATACTCACCGCAACAGGCCGTCCACCTAGATTTGTCAGGTCTGTGCGCGTGTATGGCCTGCTGTACGGCCGGTGTATTCAGATAATCGGTATAACCATTTTTAGGACAATTAAGTTTGTTAGCAATGTGTTGTTGAGCTGGTTGAGCTTGCATTGTAACTATGCCCAGTGCCTCGAAACGGGAACGATAATACCGGTCAAACATTGCGGACAGGTAGTCATCGTCGAGTCCGCCGCAATCATCGTATATGTTATAGGCATTTGGTACACTACCCAATTCTAACTGTGCTTGGTTACATTTACTAATAATGTAAAATTTAACAAAAATAACTATTTTTATAAACTTTTTTTAACAAAAAAAAATGTAATTATAGTTTCAATAGATATTATTATATTTGTTTTTATAGATAATTTATAATATAATATCAATAGCTATTGAGTTTAAATACTGTTTAATAATAATATTTATGTTTAATAGTAATAACAATAACACATACGTGGCGTTTACTGGCTTAGAGAAGTCACACTCGCGTACGGTATGGCCGTCAGCAGCGCACTGACAACAGGCCTCTATCTTGCGTTCGTACGACTCGATAGACAACTGTCCGCTACCGACAAGCATGTCGTACACCGATTGATTGCCCAAAAAATCCCAACCCGATAGTCTACCGTTACAAATGCTAATACCTATTTTTTATATAAATAATTAATTATGTATTTATTTACACACACACACACACACACACACACACATAAACACCCAGACATTAACTACCTGAGTCATACCTTTTAAATTAATATCAGTTTTAGTCTGAAATATCTCTTTGGCCAACATTGGTACGTAAACCCCGCCATAACTTTCACCGGTTATATAAAATGGATTTTTTTGAAGGTTTGGATATTTTTTGAAAAACTCTACTAAAGCCAGTCTATTATCAGTGGCAACTGTGGTGTCGTTATTCAAATATTTTTTATCATCCTTATAGCTGAAGCCCGCATCTACCGGTGCCTCAATGTACAGCATATTGGCCACACTATTCCAACTGTAAGGGTTCAGATGCAGCGACTTTCCGTCGGCATCGACACGAAACGGTCCGTTTTCGACCAACAGTCCAAATAGTGAACTACCACCCGGTCCTCCCTGAAGCCATAAGACTACCGGTGCAGACTCCGGGTTGGTCTGACTCTCGACAAACCAGTAAAATAAGTGTTTACCATCCGGTATATTCAAATAACCCGAGTATTGTTTGAAATTGATTTTGTCTTTAAGACCTGGGAGGGCTATTATCTCGTCCTCATTGTTGTTGTTTTTGTTATTGACGGCAACTAAATATGTAACACAATTAACTAATAAAAATAGATTAGAAATTAAATTTAGTGTATTCATTATTATAAAACAATTCAATTTATAAATATAATAAAATTATTAATAGAAATCAATTATTTTAAACATAATTAATAATATATTATTTTTAGTGATAACATTATCGTTATAATTGAGATAACACTTAAAACTAATGGTTTAATTAGGTTTCATATTACAACATAACATATATTTAGCCGATATATGTGTTATACAAGCGCTGCGCTGAACTCGGGTTAGCGGCTTTTGAATGCTGCACCGGCCGTCCAACTGGTCATTAAGGTAGAGCACTCGCCAATCGCGTCCAGTTGTTGAAACCAATGATCGGCCGATTTGGCCGATCCAGTCGGTGGTAGCGTTTCGTGCGCCACCCACTCACCAGCACCAGTATAGTTGTATGAATTGTTTATTAAAGCACAATTAAATTGTATAATAATATAAACTTTATTGTTGATTATTAATATTAGTTAACAAATGTAAAACACTAAGTAGAATACATGTTGAGTAAAAGAGAATCCTCAGTCTAAGAGACTGGGCTCAGGGAACTCATATATAAACTAAGTATATATAACCCAAATGTCAGAGTAAATCTAAGTGACACATAAAAACCAAGAGACCAAATAGGGTTCGGTTGACTCTTATATAAACCTTTAGAGGGGTGTGGTATGGCCATCATGGGCTGTCCTGTACTAACCAATTATATAATATAAACTACAAAACTATAATATATATGCAATATATATTATTATGTTTTATCCCCCCACAGTTAAATAAAAGCCAACCGTTACAATAAAAATATAAAATTTTAAAACAATCATAATAATATGAAAATTGATTATATATAATTAACATTAATTTTTTTACAATCAATGTAATTAATTCCACTATAATTAATAGGGGAAAACCTTTAATTACAATTATAAACTTATAATTTAGGTGAAAAACCTATTACATAAATTGGGTGAAGTGGGCACACTATGTCCACACAAAAACTAACATTTTATCAAATTTGGCCAATTTGGTCAAATCGATCAATTTGGTCAATTTTGTATGACAATCACTTAATATAAAATTTGTATATTAAATGCCAATTTAGTCCATAAATTAAAAATTTAAAAATAAAATTATTATAAATATTAAATTACATAATTATAATGTATATACTAATTTTAATTAGTACGAAAAACAATTTTTTGATTTATAGTTATCATTAGTTATATATTTTTAGTTTATTATATATTGATATATAGTTGTAAATTAACAAATAGATGAATAACGTTATACCAAACTTATGATGCACTCGATTACTTGTAGTAAGTCTGTGGTTAACCAAATGATTTATAACGGTATGGTCAACACAATGGCTAACAACTTAATGGCTGAATATGTGGCCAATGAAGATAATAATGATTCGATGCATATCTTGTCAGTGATATAAGTCTTGATAATAATAAATGGTATGTCGAAAATTATTCATACGAAAGATCAATTTTGTAGATATTGACGCCAACCGTAACATTGAGGTTAATAATAGTCTCAATAATACCAACAATGACTTCTTGAAACAAATGGATACTAACGTCGAGTAGATGACTATTATACTTTTTTAATGATAAAATACTCAATATTTATAAATAAAATATCATTAACATTTGAATTTAACTTTTATAAACGTTTTCATATATATATATATTTAAAAAATTAATTATTAGTAAAACATTTAATAAAATTAAAATTATTTATATTCATAGTGTAATGTGTAGATACATTTTTAAAAATTAGTTATTTCTTATTAAAAAACAGAATAAGTATTTCTTAATTCTTAAAATATTTTTAAAAAACTGATTTATGATATAAAAATACTAAATTATTGTTTAAGTTTAATTATATTTTAATTTTAATATTTTTTTTTATATAATTGAAACTTAAATTGTAAAATTAAACAATTTAATAATATGGCCAATTTGGGCAATTTGGCCATTTTTTCAATAATAAGCTATAAGTTTTTATATTATACGATAATATTTTCTGTAATTTGTATTATATTATATAATTTTTAAATAAATTTAAATAATTTCTTTTAATTATTGTAAAATAACCGTTGTTAAATTATTTCCTTTTATAAATTTAATATTTATTAATTATTTGTATATTTTGAATAAATTTTATTTTATACTAGATAAGATTATTTTATACTTATTTAATTTATTTTTTCCTTAAAATTAGTTGAAATCTTCATAATAATTACTACTATTACTAATTCAAAATTATTACTAAAATGATAGAAATAATAATTATTACATAATATAATATTAGAATTAATAACTACTTTATTTAAAATATTTATTTTTGTGTAGTTATATTTATTTATATATGATTTTTGTATTCTATATAATTACTTTGTGGTTCTTAAATATATTTAATATTATTGTTAAATAAGTATTATTATGAGAATTATTTTTGCTTAATTTAATAAATGAAAATTTATATCAATTTATAATTTTATTTTATTTTACTTAATATAATATCCGATAATAAGTTTTAAAAATTGTTAAGTAATTAATTTTTTAATGTTTTAACTTAATTATTTTACTTTTTCATTAGTATATTTAATTTATATTATAGAATACTGTTTTATATATATTTATTCTAAGTAAATATTATTCAATATTTACTCTAATTCAAAATTAAACCGACTATTTATGTTAGGGCTATTTACGACAATTTGATCAAATTGGCCGATCTGATAAAATTGACCCAAATGTCCATTAGGCATAAACTATCTTGTAAAACTTTAAATTATAATTGCCTATTTGTATTTTTTTTAAATACAATCATTTATATTTATTCAAACCTTTTTTTATTTAACTTGATTAGCCGAACACAAATGCGCATATTTAAATTTGTATTTTCATTTATACTTTTTCATTTTTATCTATTTATTATTGATTAATCATTTTTACATTCATTCAATCTTATACATATAATTTTTATTATAAATTATATCTTAGCTAATCTATTATTCTTTATTACAAAATATTTTTAATCATTTTAACATTATTTTTACTTTATTTTGCATGCAATTATTTTATTTCCTATATTGTGCAGACTATAGCGCTAAATGTCTCACAAATAGTATTAGGCAATATTTATATTTTTATCATTCAAAATTTCTAAAATTGTTTATTAAACTACAGTACCTATAAAATTAAATTACTTTTCTAATCTAAACTTGTTTTTTTTACTTTTTATAAATTACCTGTTTTTATATTTATTTTTAACTTTTTATGACAGATTTGGCCGTTTTGGCCAATTTGACAAATCATTCACATTTTTATAAAATAGAAGTACAATTAAGCTTGTTTAATATTTAAATAATTAAATATTGGTTACAAATTTAATATAAATGTCAATTAGAATTCTGTAAAAAGCAAAGTATCAGAATTTTTTATTAAAAATAATTATAAGTGATAAAGCATTATATATAGATCAAGTTATATTATTTAATTAGCCGTCCAAAGTTAAGTTTGTTATTAATAGTGATAATAACGGCGGCATTAGTGATGACCGTAGCCTCACTAGTTAACATAATTTCTATTATGATTTTTTCTTTTAGTGATAATTAAGTTTATCACTAATTCACATAATTGTAATATTTCTGATTCAGTGTCTGTTTTGGCAATATTGGCCATAATGGAAAACTTGAACAACTCATTTGACTTATTGTTAACTGCCGTTTGAGGATTACTGTTATGCAGTTTTTCCTCACAATTACTATTATTGTTGTGTTTTGCAAAATATTTGTACCCCATTTCTGCAATAATATTTAAGTGATCTGGTAATCTAAGCTTTTTCATGTCATTAGTGCAGTTATTACTTATACTGATATAAATATAGTCATCAATATGACTGTTACCATCAATTGGTTGGGGTGTAATTGATCCTACAGTAATTATGGATCTAAATTCACTTTTGGGTTTAGACTGTTCTGTGCTATTGGTAACATTTGTAACATTATTTAAATTTTTGTTTAAAGTAATTAAATTTGTTCTCATAGAAATATTTTGGCAATTATTTTTATTTCTTTCAATTTGTGGGCTAGATTGACTGCTTTGGCCATTTTGCCCTATTTGGGAATTGACATAATTACCCAAATTTTGGTCATTAATTTGAAATAATGGCTTATTTTGTTCAGTTTTGAGAGATTTATTGATATTAGTGTTGTTTTCTGGTGTGAAAACATCTGTTACTGTGTTCTCATTGGAATTTTGTGTTTCAGTATTAGCTATAGGATTGGTTTCACTTCTAGTGAGTGACTGTGATGTATAACGAGAGCAAGCTTTTCGTAACATTTTTATTGCTATTGAATAGTTATACAGTAATTTTTTGAAGCAGTTATTTTGAATTTTATTGCTTTTTTAACATTTAACTTTACTATATTATAAGAAGGATACATGTGTTAATGTGTGTGAAAATTACAAAATAATTGCAGTTTGAAAGCAATAAACCCATTAAATTTTAGAAGCATTTGAATTTTTTAGCAAATAAAAGAATTTTCGTATTTTAGACAATAAAACATATGTTATATTTTAAACTATTTTTAAAAAATTTTTTATAATTATCGAGATTTTTAATATTATAGGACTTTTAAAACACTAATACTAACACTTATATATAAAATAGAATTTTTTCGCAATTAATAGTAAACATATAAAAAATAGGGATCAGTTGATACCTAATTTCATTAATAAAATAATTAATAAAAGATAAATTAATAATGTATACCAGTCCATGATGTATAGTATTACGAGAGTACTTTTAAAATCGATACCACTGCGATCTCCACCAAATACAACATAACATATATTTAGCCGATATATGTGTTATACAAGCGCTGCGCTGAACTCGGGTTAGCGGCTTTTGAATGCTGCACCGGCCGTCCAACTGGTCATTAAGGTAGAGCACTCGCCAATCGCGTCCAGTTGTTGAAACCAATGATCGGCCGATTTGGCCGATCCAGTCGGTGGTAGCGTTTCGTGCGCCACCCACTCACCAGCACCAGTATAGTTGTATGAATTGTTTATTAAAGCACAATTAAATTGTATAATAATATAAACTTTATTGTTGATTATTAATATTAGTTAACAAATGTAAAACACTAAGTAGAATACATGTTGAGTAAAAGAGAATCCTCAGTCTAAGAGACTGGGCTCAGGGAACTCATATATAAACTAAGTATATATAACCCAAATGTCAGAGTAAATCTAAGTGACACATAAAAACCAAGAGACCAAATAGGGTTCGGTTGACTCTTATATAAACCTTTAGAGGGGTGTGGTATGGCCATCATGGGCTGTCCTGTACTAACCAATTATATAATATAAACTACAAAACTATAATATATATGCAATATATATTATTATGTTTTAATATCCAACTGTTTTTATTTTTATTGTATATAGTTTATCACTTTGTAATTAAAATTATTTACTTTCCTAAATAATTTTATTAAATTTTTAAAATAATTTTATAATATTACTATTATTTATGTATACCAATATTATTATTATACTAAGATTATTTTATTTATAAACTAAATGTCATTAAAATGTTTTATTACAGTATAAGTTGAATTAAGTTTTTATTATAATTATTATTGATTGATTGAAATCAACAATTATAATTTTGCGACTCATAAAAAATAAATAAATAATAATTTGAATAAGTTTTTAGTATAATTATTATTTATTTGAATGAATTTTTTTCTTTAAATTTTTGTTGATAAATAATTTTACAATTTTACGACTCCTATTAAATCTTTGAGCACTTGTAGTGCAGCTTCGGGTTTATCTTTGGGAACCATATGTCCGGCACCTCTGACCAAAACAAACTGCAAACCCTTTTCATACCGTTCCACATAACCGCCAATAATACCGTCCGATTTACCGTCAACTGTCCACTCTCTACATCAACAATATATTATATATAAACACAACTTATTTGCAAAAAAACTACATTTTTTTGTTTTTATTAATTTGTCGGCAAACAGACATACTTATAGTGGCCATTACGTTGAAACCCCAGTTTGTCAACAAATCGCTGGTCATCAATAAAATCGCAGACCATATCAAAATCGCCGTTATATACTGTCACCCGCTGTAGGCCATACTTGTTGATCAACTGGCGTACGTTATCGTATTGAGGTGTGTATGCATATAGAAAGTCATACGGACCGCAACAAACAAACCATTGATTTTTGTCGGGTCTGTGCGCATGTATGGCCAGCTGTACGGCCGGTGTATTCAGATAATCGGTGTAACCATTTTGAGGTGGACAGATAAGTTTGGTGTTAGCCGATGAATGCCGTTGTTGTAGTGTCTGAATGCCCAGTGCCTCGAAACGGGAACGATGGTACTGTTCATACGTAGCGGTCAGGTAGGCATCATTTGGTCCACTGCAATCATCGTATATATTATAGACGTTTATTGGGTCGGTTTGGTCTAACCGTACTTCATTGCATTTACTAAATGGCAAATAACAATAAAAAATATCATAGTTTTAAAATATCATTGTTTTTTTTATTGATATTGTACTGTATATATACAGTAGTAAAAAGTTTATAATCAAAAAATTTATGTTATATTATTTATAAGACATACGTGACATTTACTGGTTTAGAGAAGTCACACTCGCGTACGGTATGGCCGTCAGCAGCGCACTGACAACAGGCCTCTATCTTGCGTTCGTACGACTCGATAGTCACCAAACCGTGTCCTAACAATAGATCAAAAACCGATTGACCGACAGCATCGACACCAGACAGAGCGCCATTACCAATACCAATGCCTAATAATAGTAGTACTTATATTATTAAACACTGTACATAATTACTCTCACCCACACACCCACACAATTAGCTCATTCAACCATTAACTCAATTACCTTTTAAATTAATATCAGTTCCAGTGCTAAGTATCTCCTGGGCCAACATCGGTATATAAATACCGGCATAACTTTCACCCATTATATAAAACTGGGTTTTCTTGAAATTTGGATATTTTTTGAAAAACTCAACTAAAGCCAGTCTATTGTCGGCAGCACTTGTAGTGTCGGTGTTGTGATAGTGTTTGTCATCTTTATAACTAAAACCAGTACCTACTGGTGCCTCAATGTACAGCATATTGACCACACGATTCCAACTGTTAGGGTTAAGTTTAAGTGTCTTTCCCGTGGCATCGACACGAAATGGTCCGTTTTCGGCAAATAGTGCAAACAGTGAACTAGCACCCGGTCCTCCCTGTAGCCATAGGACTACCGGTGCATCCGTTGGATTGGTCTCGCACTCGACAAACCAGTAAAACAAGTGTTTGCCATCAGTTATATTCAAATATCCCGCGTATTGTTTGTAATAAATTTTGTCTTTAAGTCCCGGAAGGGCTGTTATCTCATCTACATTATTGTCATCAATGGCTGTTAAATATGTAACACAATTAACTAATACAAATAAATTATAAATTATATTTAGTGCCAGCATTATTAGTTAATAAATCAATTTATAAATATAATAATAATATTTTTTAGTTATTATTATTACTTTATTGATAACATTATCGTTTTTTAATTCAGATAACACATAAAAATAAATGATTAACTAGTTTTAATATCTATTCAATTATTCAATTATAGTTTTTTTTGAAAAATATTAATAGTTGTTATCATTTTATTGTATATTATTTATCAATTTATAGTTGAGAATACTTTCATTTCAAATTATTTTCATTTATTTTTTAAAATAATTTAAAACATTAAAATATAAATAATAAGGGATTTTATTTATTTTATATTAAATTAAATTTTAATAAATTTTGTAACTTTTTTTATAGATTAATAGAATTAAAATTATTAAAAGGTTTTATTAAAAAAAATAAATAATAAGTTTTTATTATAATTATTATTTATTTGAATCAATTTTTAAAAATATTTTTATTGCTAAATTATTTTACAATTTTACGACTCCTATTAAATCTTTAAGCACTTGTAGTGCAGCTTCGGGTTTATCTTTGGGAACCATATGTCCGGAACCTCTGACCAAAACAAATTGTAAACCCTTTTCATAGCGTTCCACATAACCGCAAATAATACCGTCCGATTTACCGTCAACTGTCCACTCTCTATATCAACAAAAAAAATATATATATATAAAAACACAAATTAGTTGCTAAACTACATGTTTTTTTTTTGATGGAAATACATACTTATAGTGTCCATCCCGTTGATAGCCTAGATTGTCAACAAATCGCTGGTCATCAATAAAATCGCAGACAATATCAAAATCGCCGTTATATACTGTCACCCGTTTGAGGCCATACTTGTCGATCAGTTCGCGTACAATATCGTGTTGTGGTGTAGAGGCGTGTGTGAAATCATACGGACCGCAGCAAACATACCATTGATTTTTATCGGGTTTGCGCGCATGTATGGCCAACTGTACGGCCGGTGTATTCAAGTAATCAGAGTAACCACTTTGCGGACAAATGAGTTTATTGTTGTTTGACGATGAATACGATTGTTGTAGTGTCTGAATGCCCAGTGCCTCGAAACGGGAACTATGGTACTGGTCATACATAGAGGACAGGTAGGCATCGTTGAGTCCGCCACAATCATCGTATATATTGTAAGCGTTTAGTGCGTCGGTTTGATCTAACTTAGCTTGCTTACATTTACTATATTGATAAAAATAAAATTAAAAAAAATATTTATATAAATATCAACTAAGTTATAGAAAATAATATAATTATTTGTGTAGTTTTAATAGTCATTATTTTTTTGTTATATAAATATTATATTAAGTTTATAATAAAATATTAGTTATTATAAGACATACGTGGCATTTACTGGCTTAGCAAAGACACACTCGTTTACGGGTTGGCCGTCAGCGCACTGACAACAGGCCTCTATCTTGCGTTCGTATGACTCGATAGTCACCAATCCGTGTCCTAACAATAGATCAATAACCGACTGATCGGTACCATCCCGACCTGTTAGAGCACCATTACCGATACCAATGCCTATAAATTAAAATATTTTTAGATACATAATAATTAACACCCACTCACTCACTCACTTAATTACCTTTTAAATTAATATCAGTTTTAGTGCTAAGTATCTCCTGGGCCAACATCGGTATGTAAACACCGGCATAACTTTCACCAGTTATATAAAACGGATTTTTTTGAAGGTTTGGATATTTTTTGAAAAACTCTACTAAAGCCAGTCTATTATCGGCAGCACTGGTAGTGTCATTGTTAAAATAATTTTTGTCATCTTTATAACTGAATCCAGTACCTACTGGTGCCTCAATGTACAGCATATTTACTTCACGATTCCAACTGTAAGGATTAAGTTTAAGTGTCTTTCCCGCGGCATCGACACTAAACGGTCCGTTTTCGACAAATAGTGCAAACAATGAACTACCACCCGGTCCTCCCTGAAGCCATAGGACTACCGGTGCATCCGCTGGGTTAGTCTCGCACTCGACAAACCAATAAAACAAGTGTTTGCCATCCGGTATATTCAAATAACCCGAGTATTGTTTGAAATTGAGTTTGTCTTTAAGCCCCGGGAGGGCTGTTATTTCATCCTCATTGTTGGTGTCGACGGCAATTAAATATGTAACACAAATAACTAATTGCAATAACAATAAATTATAAATCAATTTTGTTGAATACATTTTTTACAAAAAAAATAAACTTAATATTTAGTATACTTTTGCAAATAAATCAATTATAAACTTACTTAAAAACTATAATTTTTTTATTACTTAAAACTTATTATTTGATAACATTATCGTTATACTAAAAGACCACACTTAGATTTATTACATTATTATCAGGTAATATTATAAAGTTATAATATAAATAGGTTAATAAAATATATTAAATTTTTAATTATTGATTAGTTATCAATTATTATTATTATTACTAAAAAAAATAAACAATTATTGTATTAATTTCATTATCAATATACACTTATTTGAATCATTTAATATATAGTACTGTACTTATAAATTACACTATCTTTATAATAATAAAGTTTAATTTATTTCAAATATACAAATATCAAAAATACTGTATTAGAAAATGTTATTTTTAGTAGATTTTTAAAAAATTAATTATTTCAAAATAATATATAGATATGTAATAATATTAATATTATAATAATTTAAAAATATTATTTGATTAAATAGTAAATACTTTATAATTATAGCATTTAATATTTTGATATATATAAATTAAATACATAAAATACAGTATTAGTACAGTATAAAAAAATAATTTTTTTTAAAGTTATATAGTCTTAATTTTAACAATTTTAGATAATAATACATTTTTTTTGTAATTACAGATTAGTTTCATTAAAATAAAAAATAATTACTTGCTAAATTGACAAATTACTAATAAAAAAAACAATAAATTAATATTTACAAGAAAAATAATTACATTAAAAATATATGATCCAGGTAGTTTAGTTTATTTAGCACCAATAGTGACCAATTGTTTTGCTTCCAACAAATGCGGTTCAAATATCTTAATATATTTGTCTACCTCTTTATCGGTAAACCCGTACTGCGGGGCCAACTCTTTAACCGATTTACAACCGGGCGGTGCTTCAGTAAAATCAGTGTCCAATTGACCGCCCAAATAGCACGGCAACTGATCAACGGGTATAATCGCCCGGAGCTCATCAACACTGTAGACAAATTTAATTAGTTTTTCCTGTTCGCTACCGATCCACAGTCTGGCCACTGCCCACAATGGTCTCAATAGTCGCGGTAAACTGTAGACCGTCACATGTCTCAGGCCGTATGGAAAGTAGTTGCGAAATGTATTGATCAGAAACTGTAGGAAATCCATGTCGGCATTTGAAAAGCCCAGACCTGTCAGGTCAAACACCAGCGAATAGCCACTGGCACCGGCATCCTTATCGACCAGATCCAATAGGCCGACAACAAACTGTTTGAAATAGTCGACCAGTGCCGGTATCCGACGATAGACTTTGGCCCGCAAGTACAGTACCCGACGGCCGGCCATATCGGTACCGGCCGTAAATATGGCACCAGCTTTGGTGAATTCTACGGGTACGTCGGCAACCGTACGCCGATTGATACCGAACTCTTGGCGCCACTTAAGGCATGTGTCCAATTGTGTCCGCGCTTTGCCGACATCGCCGCGATTCCACTTAATAAATCGTAGGGTTGACCACTCGTCCCGTTCGACCCGTTCCACATCAATCGGGTCATAGATTTCGGGATCCTGTTTGTTGCGATCGAGTATATACTGGCGCACATCGGGTATGAGTTCCCGATAGTCAACTAATTGTCGTTCATTTGGCATATTTTTTTAATAATATTTTTAAACAAATATCTAAAATAAAAAATAATAAAATATAAATTAATGTTTAATAGTTTTAATAAATAAATTAGTTTTAAATAAGTTGTAAAAACTAGATATTTTTCTAAATAATAAATCAAAAATCAAAATATATAATACTCTACTTAAATAATATTTTATTATTTGTTTTTATTTAGAAATAATAATCTAGAAATAGATAAAATAATTTTATTTGTTTACTAATATGTTTTGTATATCAATCAATAAACTTAGATAATATCCAGAATATCTCTATATTAACAAAATAGTCAATATTTTAAAGATATTATATATCATTTTGTGTCAATGTAATTCACAAAATATATTTTTTTTTAAATTAAATTTCTAAATTGTTATGAAAATATTAATCAAATTGTAATAATAAAGTTTTAATTTTATGTTAATAAAATCATATAAGTAATATTATACTTAGTTTTCTAGGTATTAAACTTTAAATTTTTCAATAGTATCAATGTTTATTTGATTATTTAACCTTGATGATTTAGGTCAATTAAAATTATTTGCATAAAGATCAAAGATACTGATTTGACAATTTTGAATAATATTTGAAATTATAATAAAACTCAATAATTAAATTAATAATTAAAATAGTTTAATTAAAAACATCTGTAATTAATATAACTTACGTTTAATTTTATGGCTGATTTGTGATGATTTAAAATTTTGTATTCAAAATACAAACATAAATATTTTAGTAATTACATCAATTATAACAAATAAATAGATAATTACAGTAATATTATTTATAATAATATTATCTGTGATTTTACTGTATATTATTTAATCGACAATAATTAATCAGTTTAGATACATAATAATTTAAATTTCATTTACAATTTTTATTATAATTATAATACAAAAAAAATTATATTATATTAAAAAACTGATTAAAAACCAGACATAAAAAATTTTAACCAATTTTTTTGTATATTTAAATTGATTATTAACACAACAAAAAAAATATCTTTTTAATTAAAAATTTTTACTAATATTTATATATATTTATATAACTTTTGATGTCTAGTCATAATTTCAAATATACAGGTATACAATATTATAATAATAATAATAACACGTATGACTTATGATTAATAATAATAATAATAATTTAAATTATATTTTTACTATAAAATATGATTTTCTTTTCAAGAAAAACATTACTAAATGATAGTGAAATACAGTTATATAATGTTATAGTAATAATAATACTGTATTTAATAATTCAATGTTATGATTTGATACATACAAAAAAATAAAAATATAAATTAACAAAAAAAACATCATCATATAATAAACACTTGATATTTTATGTGGCATTCAATTACATTATAAACAAACATAAATTGTGTATATAATTTAGTGGGTATTTATTTTATTTTTATTTAGGGGAGTGTAGACTAAAATGTATGACCTGTAAGAGAGAGAGAGAGAGAAAGAGAGAGAGAGTGAGAGAGAGAGAGAGAGAGACCAGTATTTCCAAGGCTAGAGTCAATAGTATTGAAAAATTATTAAAAATGATTTCACTGTTAAAATTTTTTTATGGTTGCATTTTTCTCAATTTTACTCTCACTAGTGATGGGAAATTACAAAACTTTATTTCAATAATCAGATCATTTGTTTAGTTTTTTTACAGGTATTTACACTGTAATTACCACTGTTATTATTGTATAGTAAAAATCAATGCAATTATGCAATGCATTTACGCCAATCATAATCCCAAAAAACAGGTTTTATTTTTCAAAAACATTATGTTATTTTATTCATCAATATTTTTGTAATGTTTATCCTCTAAAAACAAATAATTGCATACAATTTAATACTGACGTGGGTTTACCCATATATATATATATATATAAATTTATTATACTATTATTATTACAGGTTAATGATATAATTTATGTAAATATTAGTTAATTAATATTTAAAGTTTTATAATTTTATTAATACATTGTATAAAATGATTTAATATATTTATTTATTAAAATATTTATTACAGTAATATTTATTTATAATTATTTTTGTTTGCAAAAAGTAAATTAAAAAATTTTATAATTTATTTTACTTATATTTTATTTAGTTAAAATCATTTTTAATTAGTTTATTATTGTTTAACAATTTACATATAATAATATTATATGTATAAATATTTTAATATTGACAAGCATAATATTAAAGTTTTTTATATAAAAAACTTAATTAAATAAAGTTTTATTAATATTAGTTAAAAGGGAAAATAGTGAAAATAACTGTAAGTTAGATTTAAAAAATATAATTAACTTTCAATATAGTATTATTGTTATAATTATTACACAATATTTTAGTTTATCCTAATTTATAATCTATGACATTAAACTAGAAAAATAATTTTATTAACTATTATAATAAATTTAATCTAAATGGTTGTCTAAGTTCAATATTAATTGAACATTAAATTATTAAACATTTATATTTATATATATATATATATATATATATATATTAAATATACTGTATATAGAATTTTATTTTAAAAATTTAATATTAAAAACAATTTATAATTTAATTAAATTTATTAAAAATAAATGCTTACAAAATAAAGTATCTCGAAATTAACTTATTTAAAAATAATTGAAACAAATATTTATAAAAAAAATAATAATTTATACAATAAAATTAAATAATATATATATATATATAAACACAAAAAATAATGCACATTAAAATATTATAAGTTTATAATAATATTTAATATTAATTTTTAGATTAATTACATATTATTGATTTTGGCTAATTTGACGGCACCTTTGATAACGGCAAACATGGCATCAATATCTTTACGATGTTTGTCCATAATTGGCACCCGTTTTAATTTCATGGCACCCGTCAACAGGCCATTATCAGGTGTCCACGGCTGATGACAAACAGTGATCATTGTAGGTATTTCCCTACGATTAAGTCCCTGTCCGTATGATGTCTCTATCAGTGACTGATGTATATGTTTGACGACCAGACTGTTTGCACAGATCTCGTCCAGTGCTGTACTATCGTCGTCACCGATGTTCAGCTGTCGGCACAGTTTGGACAGTGCCTGAGGGTTGGGCTGTATGAGAGCTACCAATCGGTCAACAATGGCATCGCCGACAACACACGCGTTATCGATGAACGGGTCGTTTTTAAGGCATGCCTCGATCTGTTAAATAAATAATACAATTAATAATAATAATAATAAACAATAGTACTAATTGTTGTTTATTGATATTATAGTTTTTTTTTAAAAGTTGGCAATTATTTTTGCTAAATATGATAATAATAAATATCAATGTGATTTTAATTTTATTTTTTTTAAACTGTAAATAAATATATATGCAAATTTAATATGGGTTTATATAGTTTTATAATAATAATTTATGATAGAAATGTTGAATCTGCTGTAAAATAAATAATATTTAAATTGATGATTATTTTTACATTATAAATTTAGTTTTTTTTTCTAAATTATATCAATTTAAATTTAATAATTATAAACATTTTACTAATTGTCAATTAATTGTTGATTAAAACTTATAAAATTATAAGATAAACTAATATAATATTTGATTCACACACAAACACAAAAAAATATAACTGAATGTTAAATATTTAAAAAAATTAATAATTATTTGTAATTTAATACATACAAAAAATAAAATAATTTTAATACTTTAATTGATTAGTAATATTAATACATACTTTGCCTAATGAAACAAACTCTCCGTTTGATAGTTTGATTAAATCTTTTTTGCGGTCAATAATCCTGACGGTGCCGTCGGTATAGATTTCGCCGATATCGCCGGTCATAAACCATCGCAAGCCGTCACTGTCGGTATAAAAGCTCTGGTCGTTCAACGATCGCAGCTTAAAGTAGCCATTGGTTATCATATGTCCGCCGACCACTATCTCGCCTCTCGGGTGCGGCTTATCGGCCACTGAATAGCCACCCTCTGCCCAGTCTTTCAGTTTGATTCGGACGCCATTCAAGGGTCCGCCCACTCGTCCATAGGATAGGTCGTCAAAGTCCATACAGAGAACTATTTTTTTTTTATAAATATTATTTTACAATAAAAAAAATATTTAAACATAAATTAATAATTGTTTGATTTATAAATTTAAATTATAAAACAGTATTATAGATAAATTCAATAATACATTAAATATGTGTTTCTTAAGTTATTAGTGATATTTTTTCAAAATAAAAAATATAATAAATTGTAATAAATTATTATTATTAATAATTATACTAATTTTTTAAAAAAGCAAACTAAATTAGATTTCAACTGAAATAGCATTTAAATGTTATTTATTATTATTTTGTTTACATATTGTTTATTGAAAAATGTTTTATCAAACAAGAATGTAAAAATATTTAAATTAATAAATTAAATATAAATTTATAATATGTTTAAAACTTAATATACTGTATATTAGATATAAAAGATAATATAAATATATATATATTTAATTTATCAAACATACCGGCGCCGCAAGTTTCGGTAGTTCCATATCCTTGTATAAGCTTGACATTAACTGAGCATTTGATCAGTGATTGCAATTGCTGGGACAGGGGTGCACTGCCCACCACCATATACTCTAGTCGACCGCCCAATTGCTCTCTAACCTTACCGCACAGTAATGTGTTAACTATGGGTGTATTGTATCCTAAAAATTTATATAAAAAAATTATTTACTTAAACAATATAATAATTAATTAATCAATCAATAGATTAAAATATATTTTTAAAATCTGTTTAATTTACTTATTGTTTAGAAATATTTTCAAAATAACATTTTTTTTGGTTAGACATTATGTTACTGTATTTTAAACTAATGTATTGTTTAGATAGATATGTGGGTCAATGATTAAAAAAATAGTTTTTTATATGAAATATACCTGTATTTAATTTTTTTATGATAATAATATTAATGATTATTGACAGCGGGACTACTTAACACTAACTAATATAATAAATAGCTATTTTATAAAAATAGTAATATAATAATAATATTAACAAATTATAATAAGAAATAATGATTTTCTTTTCTTTTTTTAAAAAGTGTGTTATTTTACAGTAAGTGCTATATTAAGGATGCTATTAATCTAATTATTTTTAGTGTTTTTAATATCTAATATAAAATGAAATTACTTATAGTATTATCAAAATTATTTTTTTTTCTAGGAATTGAATTACAAATTATTTTTACAAATGTCACTGAACTCTCTCTCTCTCTCTCTCTCTCTCTCTCTCTCTCTCTCTCTTTCTCTTAGTCTTAATAATAATGATAATAATAATAAAAATATAAAATATCTGATGACTGAAAATATATGAGAAAAACAAATAAAAAATTTTATTAGTTTTTTAATACTATTAATATAATTGATTTTGAATATTAATTGATAATACCTTTTTGAATCCAATGGGACTTATAGTTAATTAGATAGTTAAATATATGAGTTGACACCGGTGTACGTGATGCTAGTTTAGCATACATTTCTTTGCGTATACGATCGAGTACTAGAGGAACAGTAGTCATAATTGTCGGCTTCAGTAGCTGTATGTCACTGGTAGTTCCCGGTGCCAGACCCGGTGCCGTTTCGTTCAGTGTAAACGGTGTGCCGAAACCTATTTTGACACCACCGAGAAATAGGAATAACTCGATGGTTGCCTCAAGTATGTGTGCCTGGGGCAGGTAGGCTATGTAGGTATGTCGTGGACCGTCCATCATTATATCTCTGACCACTGTAGCCATGGCCATACAGGCCTCTTTGAGCTGGGCCTGTGTGGCTATAACACCCTTGGGTAGGCCACTGGTACCGCTTGTGTACATAATCTGTAGTAATGATAGATTTATTATTATTAATAATAATCAATAATTATTGTATTTTTTAATAGTTATAATATCAAATTAACTTATTATTAATTAATATTGCTATTGAATGTCTAAAATAAATTATCTTATTTATTAAACAGTTAAGTATAACCATCAAATAATTGATTTAAAAAAATCATATTGTAATTTTAAATTTTTAAATTGTTAATTATTTTTTTAAAAAAGGTTAAATATTTTTAACAAAATTAAGTATTATATAGAATAAAATAAAAATTTTCATAAATATAAGCAAAAATTATTGAAACAATTGAAAATTTACTGTTACTGTAAATTTACACTAAAAAAAACTGTAAACTTACACTTAGAAAAAAAATTGATAAAAATATTTTAATTTGTGAATTTGATAGTAGTGTTATATGAATTGTGCATATTATCTATACTGTATATATAATTATATATATTTATAAAGTATATATTTTTTTAAACAGTTTTTAATAATTAATATTACAATTTAAAAAAAAAATCAAACAACACTTACCAGACATTCGTGTTTCGGGTCCAACGGTTTGAATGTAAAGTTTTGTCCCGATTGTTGGCCAGCATTTTCTACCGAACTCAGTGCTAGCACTTTGATTTCGGGCGGAAAACTGTAGTTTTGTTCACCTGTTGGACCTTTTTTTTTAAAAAAAAACATATAATTAGTGATTACAAGTTATTACAGTAATAGAGTTATTATTATTATTATCCATACCTTCAAAATAGATAATAGTCTCGACTTTGGGTAACCTATCGGATAGTCCGGCCAATCGTTTAATTAGTTCATAACTGGTCACCAAATATTTGACTTCTGTTTCATTGAGTGCATGTACAACACCGTCGTCGCTGAGCGTATGAAACACAGTGACCGCTACGGCACCCATACGGCCGATAGCTGCTGACATCAGGAAATACTGTGCACTTGTCTCGGAATAGATGGCCACCCGATCGGCAGTACGGATACCAGTGGCCATAAGTCCGCGCGATATGTTGTCAATGCGTTGGCTGACTTCACCCAATGTCATCCACTTGTAGTCACTTAGCCGATACTTTCGCAGTACTTTGCCGTCAATTTTTATTGGCCGACCCTCGCTGTCCATTTGAATCTCTTCGGCCAACACATCACGATAGCCAATGGCTTGTTTGTCCAGCGGATACAGTTCGCGGACTTTATCAAAAGCATCGGCTATTGTACAACAATCCATCAGCGGATGATAGGGTAGATCAACATTGCGTACCCATTGAGAGTCGGGATCGGTTGGATCCGATCGATGTCCGCCACAATTGGCTGCTATTGTCCGTTGTTTGGCCGGTTTCTGTACGATATAATATACCGGTAATGTCAGGTACGTATAGCACGTGACTGTTAGGCGCGTGAAAAACATAAACACATGAATTAGGATATCTTTGACGAGATTATTAGACATTTTTTTTGTTTTATTAGTTCAAACAATTACTATTAAATAATTAAATATTTTAATTATTATTTCACGTTAAAAATTAAGTTAAATTTATGTATACAAACATTATAATTATATATTTTATGACATTTATTATATATTTTGTTGTATTGATATTTTATTTATTAACACAAATATGTAATATTAATTTCATAATAATAATAATAATAATAATATAAATATTATTATTAATTTAATTGATATTTATTTTTAATTAACTTTTATGTATTTTAATAACAATTTTTAAGTTATCATATGTTATCAATATTTTGATAAAATTATTATTAACAAACATTTATCATTTTGACTGAAAGTTGGTTTTTTAGTTTTTTTTTAAAAATCACATTAAGTTCAATAATTTATAAATACTATTTGTATAAATAATTTACTTTAAGATAACACATAATATTTTTCTATAACACTAATTACAAAACATTTGCTTATTAATTATCAATAGTATAAACATTTAAATAATTTGAAATATTTTTTACATTTTTTTCAGGTAAATCAATGTTAAAATTATTATTAATATTTAAATTATATGTTCATTGGTTGTAAACAATTATTATAATTATTATTATTATTATTATAGTCGGAGTTTTTTCTATATAAAAATTAAATATTTTTTTTATATATTAATTGAACTGGGAAATTTGTTATTTAACAAATAAATAATATTTAATTATTTTTTTATCTGAAATAGTTTCCTCTATAATAATACAATAGTAATCACTTGTTTTTTTAAAAAATATATATACTGTAGATAACAGTACGAAAATTTTAACCAACAATAATAAATAAAATTATTTATTTAATTTTTTAAAAATAAAAATAGTGTATATATTTCACTGTAAAATCTTTTAAAAACTAAACGCTCTGTCGATCAATGAAGTCGTCGTCCAAATGAAAAATGTATAGAAAATACTTATGAAATAATAAGAAATTTTCAATTGAAGAAAAAAAACGGTTAATTGAGTTAAACTAAACTACTATTTTTACATATCATATCTGAGGACTAGTTTTTTTTACATTATTTTTTTTGTTGTTTTTGTATTTTATAAATATAACACAAATTGAGTGTTTTCCCAATTTGTATTACCTGTTCCTCATTGCAATATATGTATACAATATACTGTATATATATATAGTATAACTGGTGACCAAAACTTGATATGTAATCACATCTATATATATAGTATATACAGGTATTATATATATATATATACAGGTGCGCATACGTGTTCACTATATTAAAGTATATGTATATATATATACAGTGTATATCTTATTGTATGAATATAACCCAAAACATAGGTTATTGATGTTTACATCCACTGCCCTAAAGGCATAGTCACCTATTAAAGTGGTTTTATATTCATAATATTATTATTATTTTAAAACATTTATTATACAAAGTAACAAATAATTTTAATAATATTTATATCAATTATTTACTATTGATTTCAAAAACACACACAAATATTTTTACATTAATATTAATAAAGAAGTTTTTTAAAATATTAATTAAATGATTATTTAAATAGTGTATTAAAATAAAATTATAAATATTTAATAGTAAATATATTAGTTAACAATTTTTTCAAAAAAATAAACAATAACTTAACAATATTCAATTGATTTTTTCAACTTATATTATAAGCACCCTTTTTAATAAAACTGTTTGAGAAAATATGACAAAAAACATACAACATTTTTTGTATTTAACATATTTTTTTAAGTTAGAAATATATTTTTAACTAATAATAAATTTTTATTTGACCTAATAAAAACAATTTATCAATAAAAATAAATATTATTATTTTTATTATTAATTTAGTTTTTACATTAGTTTAAATAAAAAAAAAAAATTACATTATATAGTGAATTGTATAATGAATTTTATTTTGAAAAATCTATTGTAAGTAATAATTTTGTTGTGAAAAGTAGTTTTTAAAAAATTTACGTTTATATAAGTAATAATAAAATAATAATAAATTATTTCCTAATATTATTTGAAAAACTATTCATTTGTATTGATAACTCCCACATATTGTTTGTGTAAAAACTTTTTTTTAAGTGATATATTTATATAAGAGTCATTCAAATTAACTAAAAATATTTTTATCTAACAATAGGTAAACATTTTTTATTAAAAAAAATCTTAACCTTTGTTGCAACAATAATATGCAAATAAATTAAATAATAATAACTATAAATATATCTTCATGTTTATAAAGATATTAACAATTAAAAAATATCTAACATTTCATTATTTATTTATTGTTAAATATTTGTAATCATTTTTCAACAACAACAACAAAATAATAAGTAAATAAATTATAATAATGTTTACTATTCTATTGTTATATATTAAACACAATAATTAATTATATTATTATTATTACTGTATTACTATATTAATTTTTTAATAGTAAAAATCATTATGGTAATCATTTTGTTTTTCTAGTGAAAAAAGTGTACATAAAATAAATAAATTTCAAAAATCATACATGATAATTTTAAATATTATTAGCAATAATTGCAATACATGTTGAAACAGTTATAAAATAATAATCATTGAGTTTGAAAGTAAACAGTATAAGTAGTACAGTATATAAAGATTTTTTGTTGTTGTAAAACAATGATTGTTTTGTTAACTATTAATAAATACAATGAATAAATATATCTTAATTAAGAAATTTTAGTTAAAACTTATAATGTAAACTATAGGACTTAGAAAATAATAGTTATCATAACTAATTTGTTATATATTTTTTATGATAAAACTAAAATATTTAAAATTATTACAAAAATCATACCCTAACTTTACATTGATATAATAATAATAATAGGATAAAAATATTGTAAATATAATTACTAATTTTGTATGCAATAGTTTATTATATTAAAATACATTTATATAATAATACGATCTTTTTAGGTCTATTGATGAATATTTTTTTAGGGGTAATTAACATAATTAATGAATTATCAAGGTTAAATTATACCTATTTACTATTAGTAGGTAACACTAAATAAATAGATGAATATAAACTAGCTAATTTAAAAGACAAATAAAAAAATTTGAATACTAAAATAAATCAGTTTTCTTTAAGCAAGCACTTTTTAATTTGTTAAGTATATTAAATAAATTTAAATGATTTCAACTAAAATTATCATTACTAAATTAAACTTGTTAATAATTGTCTATTGTGTCAATTGTCTAGTGTTTCTTATGATTATTTTCTATTAGGAATCGATAGATTAGGATTTTGGTTTAAAAAAAACCGATCCGCGGATAACAACCGGTACCCCCTATACCTACTCAATGTTGTGGCTAATCATAAAATAAATCACAACATATACAGTATAATTATGTTTTATTATAAACATTACATGTATTAATAATTAATATTAATTATTATAACAGTATTATGTTTGATGTGGAGATCCCAGATTGCAATTTATAATTTATATTCAAACATTAAGTTCTCGTGTTTTTTTTGAACCATGTTTTATTACTAAACATTTTTCATAAATTTTATATTTTAATATTTTCTATAAATTAGATAAATTAAATAATCATAATAATGATCATTATTTACATTCTATTATGCATAATAATAACAATAATTTTAATTATAGCAATAAGCATTGTAATGTAAGTTAATAATAATAATAATAATAATAAATAATAATAAATAATAATTAGTAAAATATATATTAAATACTAAAAATTTTATTTTTATAAATTAAAATATGTATTAATTTAGATCAGCTATTTTAAAAAGTTTGTATTATAAAAAACATGGCATTGAATTTGTATATTTGATAAATATGAAATTTTTAATATTTAATCAATATAAACTATTTTGCGAACTATCGGCCAAATGTGGCAAAGTTTATGCCATTAATAAATTTGTTGTCATCAATGATCCGGATTTGTTGGAAGAGATTATGGTTACAAACAGTCAGGTGACGATCGGACGGTGCGATTTTCATTTGGGTAGAGATGACTATTCACTGTCTGAGACATTGCTATTTCAAAACGATTATCACAAATGGAAACGGATTCGTAAGATTATGGGACAGGCATTCACACCAATCAAACTTAAGGATCAGATGCCATACAATGAACATATTGCTGATCGACTGGTCGACCATTTGGAACAGTATTCAAGCACTGGTATATGTTTTTCTTTTATAATCTAAATTTCTATATTTAAATTATATATTAATATTAATACATAGAGTCTACATTTTATAATGAATAAAACATATAAATTAATATGATATTTTATTTGTTTCTATTATATACTGTAAAATATGACCAAGGTACAAATTTTGATATCAAAAATTCACTGGTATCATTTTCATTAGACGTTATCAATGCTTATGTGTTTGGCGCCAGTATTAACACATTTGACAACAATGATCATCCGTTTTTGGTAAACGCCAACAAACTATTTTCATGTAATAGAAATCTATTTAGTTTGACAGCAATATTATTCCCAAAAATTGCCAATTTATTAGATATTAATCCAATCAACTATAAAGCATTGAAATATTTTGTAAATGTTGTCAAAAATATTATATCATTTAAAAGCTATGGTGATCTTCTTTTTTTTAAATATCATAATTTAATATTTGTTACCTATTTTCATATACAACTTATTTATTTTATTAGTTATTTGCTTAATATCTCATATAAATATATATTATATACAGTATGTTCCAAAACTATCTTGTACAAACAGGTCTCAAACTCGTACCAGATAGTTTTATAAACTAACTGTATATATATATATATATATAGTCTGGGGGTTTTCAATTTCAAAATCTCGATTTTAGAAGGGGGTATTTTGTTTTATCCCCACCCCTTGCTTAAACTTGATATAAATATATGTTATTATTAATATAACGGTAGATAAATGATAAATAAATAATACATAGATTTCTATATATTAAAAAACTTTATTTAAAAAATAATTTATAATTTTAAAAATAACACTTATATTATGAAAATTATAAATCAATTTATTTATGATAACTTATATATATTTGGTAGCTTTTTCATATACAACTTATTTATTTTTAGTTATTTGACTAATATCTCATATTTAAATATATATATATATATAATTTTATATCACGGTTAAGAATACATTTCTCTAAAAAATAAAATTTATTTTTAAAATTATAAATCAATGTATTTATGATAACTAATATATATACATATATATATTATTTGTTTTAAAAAGATACAACAAACAATACAAACTTTATTCAAATGATGATTAAGAAAAGACAACATATTTTGAATAATAATAATAATAATAATAATAGCAATTCCCGGGAACAGTATCTCAACGATAAAGAGCTCACAGAACAGGCAATTATTTTGTTGATCACCGGCTTTGAGTCAATGAGTAATTCTTTATGTAATGCTGTCTACTATTTAGCCAAACATCCCGATTGTCAACAAAAACTCTATGAAGAAGTGTTCACTTATTTCAGTAACAGACAGACAGACAGTTATGATATGGCTATCAATGAACTCAAGTATTTGAATGCTGTCATCAATGAGACACTTCGTATGGCACCTCCAGTCGCTTACTTTCCACGACTCATCGCTCAGGACTATAAATTTAAAAATACTAGTATTTTATTTTTATTTATTTTAGTTTAGTTAATAATAAATTTATTTATTTTTAAATTTATTATATATTTTTTTAATTATACAAAATATATTTTATTATAATAATAATAGACATAACATTACCAAAAGGCTCGGTACTTTTGGTACAGCCTTATGTTATGCACCGATGGCCACAATATTATGCCGATCCCGATATGTTTAATCCAAATCGTTTTATGGATCCAATGTCTAAACCGCCGTCCAATGTATTCATACCCTTTGGAAACGGTCCGCGCATTTGTATCGCACAATATTTTGCTTTGAATGAAATGCGTATATCTATTGCAAAATTAATACTAAACTATGATTTTGCATTAGCACCGGGATTTCAGGTACTTTTCTCATAAAATATAAGTAATTTAAAAAAAAATTATGAATTATTGAAAAATTAAATTTTTTATCCATAGATAAGTTATTATAATCTCAATGAACTCATGAATCCAAAACAAGTGTTAGTAAACATAAGAAAACGTTAATTAAATTAAATTTTATTACAATTTTGATAATTATTGATTACAATTTCTTTTTAAATTTACATTTATTAATTACTTTTTACCAGTAAAAATATTTAAATTTTCAAAAATTATTATCAATTGTATAATATTGTAATTATTGTATTAACATTTAATTGAATGTAATAACTATAATAAAATAACACAAATAAATAATTCATATTAATTATGAATATACTGTATTGAATGTCATATAATTTATGTTATATTAATTGTAAACCACATTCAGTGCAGCCATTGATTTAATAACTATATCTATTGTGTTAAGCATTTTGATTGTAGTTAATATAATAACAATAATCAAATATAATAATAATTTATTATTTCATAGGTATTCATAAGCATGTGAAGACACAAAACTATAGGACTTAGAAAATAATAGTTATCATAACTAATTGTTATATATTTTTTATGATAAAACTAAAACATTTAAAATTATTGATTTCAACTAAAATTATCATTACTATATTAAACTTGTTAATAATTGTCTATTGTGTCAATTGTTTTATATTCATCCAGGTCCAGATAATAATAATAACAACAACAAGACTGATAATAATATAATTAACACTAAATGATATCTGGTTTAGAGTAGTTAGACGTCCAGAATTTCGGGAGGAATGTCCTCCCAATTGTCTGATTTAATATTTTTTTCAAATGTACTCTAATTTTTAAATTTTTTTAACCTATACAACCCTATATATGATAAATCTCATAGCGTTTCTTAAGATTATTTTCTATTAGGAATCGATAGATTAGGATTTTGATGAAAAAAAACCGATCCACGGCTAGCAACGGTACATATTATTCATACTCAATGTTGTGGCTAATCATAAAATACATCACAACATATACAGTATAACTATGTTTTATTGTAAACATTACATGTATTTTATGTTTGACGTTGAGATCCCAGATTGCAATTTATAAATCAATATATTCAAACATTAAGTTTTTCTAAAACATTTTTTTTGTTACTAAACATTTTTAATAAATTTTATATTTTAATATTTTCTATAAATTAGTTGAATTAAATAATCATAATAATGTTGATTATTTATATTTTATTATGCATAATTATAACAATAATTATAATTATAGTAATAAGCCTATTAATGTAAGTTAATAATAATAATAATAATAATAAATAATTAGTCTAATATATATTATATACTAAAAATTTTATTTTTATAAATTAAAATATTTATTAATTTAGATCAGGAATTTCATATAGTTTGCATTATAAAAAACATGGCATTGAATTTGTATTTATGATACATTTTAAATTTTTTATAATAAATCAATATAAACTATTTTGCGATCTATCGGCCAAATGTGGCAAAGTTTATGCCATTCATAGATTTGTTGTCATCAATGATCCGGATTTGTTGGAAGAGATTATGGTTACAAACAGTCAGGTGACGATCGGACGGTGCGATTTTCATTTGGGTAGATATGACTGTTCACTGTCTGAGACATTGCTATTTCAAAACGATTATCACAAATGGAAACGGATTCGTAAGATTATGGGACAGGCATTCACACCCAACAAACTTAAGGAACAGATGCCATACAATGAACGTATTGCTGATCGACTGGTCGACCATTTGGAACAGTATTCAAGCACTGGTATATGTTTTTATTTTATAATTTATATCATATATATTCTCTATAGTTAAATATACAGTATATATGTATACATAGAGTCTACATTTAATACTGTATAAAACATATAAATTAATATGATATTTTTTTGCTTCAATTTAATTTTTATAAAAATGTTTTTAAATATCACCAAGGTACAAATTTTGATATAAAAAATTCACTGGTATCATTTACATTAAACGTTATCAATTGTCATGTGTTTGGCGCTAGTATTAACATATTTGACAACTATGACCATCCGTTTTTAGTAAACGCCAACAAACTATTTTCATGTAATGCAAGTCTATATGAATAATAATATCAATTCCCGGGAACTGTATCTCAACGATGAAGAGCTTATAGAAAAGGCAATTATTTTGTTGATCACCGGCTTTGAGTCAATGAGTAATTCTTTATGTAATGCTGTCTACTATTTAGCCAAACATCCCGATTGTCAACAAAAACGCCGTCCAATGTATTCATACCCTTTGGAAACGGTCCGCGCATTTGTATCGCACAATATTTTGCTTTGAATGAAATGCGTATATCTATTGCAAAATTAATACTAAATTATGATTTTACATTAGCACCGGGATTTCAGGTACTTTTCTTATTAAATATAATTTATTTTTTAAAATAATTATTTTTTGTTATTTTTTAATAATTTATTTTTGATATTCTTAGATAAGTTATTATAATCTCAATGCACTCATGAATCCAAAACAAGTGTTAGTAAACATAAGAAAACGTTAATTAAATTAAATTTTATTACAATTTGTTTAATAGTTTTATTTTACTACAATTTTGATAATTATTGCTTACAATTACTTTTTAAATTAACATTTATTAATTAATTTTTCTAATAAAAATAATTATATTATTTTAGAAATTATTGATTTTATGACATTGTAATTGTATTGACATTTCAGTGAATGTAATAACTAAACTAAAATAATGCAAATAAAAATATCATATTAATTATAAATATATTGAATGTCATATAATTTATATTATATTGATTGTAAACCATATTCTTTCTAACCATTGATTTAATAACTATATCTATTGTGTCAAGCGATGACATTTGATTGTAGTTAATACTTAATAAATATAAATAATAATAACTAGACATAATAATAATTTATTAATTCATAGGTATAATTAATTATAAAAATATACATACTAAACATCACAAACTTAATTTTTTAAAATTATATATAATTATTTTATTTAGATGAGTGTTATTAAAAATTTTAGTATTATCAAAAAAGCATAGCATTGAATATTTGCACAATACTTGAACCACAATTTTGTTATTGCCAAAAAATGGATACTTTTTTTTAGTATCATATAATAAACTTGTATAATTAATTAATTGGTTTATTTTCATATACTGATAAATTAAATATAATAAAATTAAATATAACATAATTATTTAATATTTAACTTTTCGTAATTATTATAGAAATATTAAATTTGATTATTTTAAAAACTGTTAATAATCAAATAATTTAATAAATTAGTTCTAATTATATTAATTAATAGTTAATAATTTTATAAACAATTTTAGACAACTTACATATTGATCCAGGTAGATAATAATAATAACAACAATAACACTGATGATAATAAGAATAATAACATTATCACTGACACTACACTGGCACCGTATTGTTATGAGCCTACCGGTGCCAATTGTCAATGGTATAGGGATTGTCTGGAAAAATCGCATCCATGTGATGGCAGTCCTTATAATTATGCTATTGATTTTGGTGACCATTTTTGTCGAGAATTTGATCAAACCTATTACAAGTTTAGCCCATTAGGGAAAATATGGATCGATGGTGTGCGCCAGTGTCTACAGGCCCAGTTGGTACCGGTGCTCAACAATAGCTATGAGGGTACATGTAATGATATACTACAACAGGGCTTTCAAATACACTCCCGGTGCTATACGTACGCTAATCCTAACGGTGTATCGGTGTGTGAATTGTTGCCAACTGATTGGACAGCCATACTATGGACAGTTAGAAATATAGTGACGGCCAGTCCCGATGTATTGTTATTGTTTAGCGAAAATATTTTTCAGATTATTGATAATTGTATTTATGAAATATTAGAAATTATTGATTAGTTTTTTTTGTTTGTTTATTTAATTATTTAAGAATTACTAGTATAATAAAAGTATAATAAGTTAATAATAAATATTTTTAAATTTTTTTTTATTACCGGTAAATGATTAAATTTTTATCACTATTAACTAAATAAATTCATTTTTTAAAAAATAATATTATTTAAGTAATTGATATTATATTTTTAAAATTATTTTAAAATAACATTAGCTAACGGCTGATATTTGTATTTATATATATTTATTATGAATATGTATAGTATATTCACATTTACAACTAATAATTAATAATTGCAAAAAATAGTATTGAATAACAATTAAGATAGTTATATAAAATTTTATAGATTAACTATGATATAAAATGATCAATGAACTTTTATTAAATGTATGATTATATCTAAAAAATTTTACTTATTTTATTTATACATTTATGTAAATTAGAGAAATTTCTAAATAATAATTTTTTCAAAAAAAACAAAGCTATTAATTATAACTTAATTATTGTATTTGTACTAAAATTTCTATATAGCATATGTAATACTGTACTTATTTTTTTGGTTATTAGTATATAAACTATTATAGTAAAGTTATAATTACAATAGAGTACAATACAGTAAATACATAATAAGTACAATAATAAATGACATTGTAGTAACAAAATAGTAAATACAATATATAAAAAAAATATTGTTAACATAGAAAATAATTAAACTATTTAAATAAGAATTGTAATTAAATTAATAAATAAAATAATACTATTGTATATTATTTTATTTTAGATAAATTACTATACAAATTCAAATTAATATACAATTACCATGTACTATAATTACTGTAATAATGCTATAGTTAACAATAAAATAAATAATTAGCAAATTGTACAGTTTAAACTATATAAATATGGTAATCATAATAATTAATAAATGATTATTGAAATTAGTTATTCAAATAAAACAAATAATATTTTTCAATTTTATGTAATCATTATTTTATAAAACTCATTATTACTATTAATAATGGAATATTAAAAAATGATTTCAAGCAAAATTAACATTACTAAAAATTTAATTTTGATAATTATTCTAGTCAATTACTATAAATTGATCCAGGCTCACAAATATCAAGTCGATAACAATAACAACAACAATAATATTAAAATACAACTTGCACCGTATTGTTTTGAACCTACCGGTTCCAATTGTTCATGGTACAGGTATTGTCTAGAAAAAATACATCCCTGTGCCACTACCAGCTATGACTATGCCATTGGATTTGGCGAAAAATTTTGCCTAATATACGATCAAACCTATTTATTGTTTAGCCGTAGTGGCCAACTATGGATCGATGGCGTACGCAAGTGTCTACAGACTAAACTGGTACCGGTGCTCAATAGTGATCATCGTAACGTAACTTGTGATACTATTAGGCAACAAAGTTTCAATTTGCATCCCAAGTGCTATACCTATGACAATACCAATGGCATATCAGTTTGTCAATTGTTTCCCACTAATTGGCTGGCTATAGGTTGGACAGTCAAAAGTATAGTATTTGGTGGTCCCGATATTTGGCTATTGTTTGGTAAAAATGTGCTGGATACTACTGGCCTATGTTTTAAAACTATTATTAAAAATATTATTTCAATAATATTTTAATTATTACTAACTTGTTGTTACAATAATTGAATTAACTATTGTATTATATTATTTATGTTAAATGAAAATTAAAATAAATACAGTATAAACAAATATAAGATATTTGATAAATGTTTAATTTTTATTATTAAACTAGAAAATTAATATAATAGTTAAAAATGTTTTTTTTAAATATTTATAAATCACTTTAACTTTTTTAACTTATATTAATAGATGGTACCAATAAAAATATAAATGGTACTAGATAAATTGTGATAATTCAACTTTAAAATTGTACAATACTTTAAATTTAATTTTGTCAACAATGATATTATCTTAATCTTTTATATATGTATTATTTTTGAGCATTATTTGTATATAGATTTTTCCACATAATTTTTTCCATATATTGTAATTATCAAGTGTTTCAAATAAATTAGCTAAAAATAAATTTTTAGCAAATAAATGAAATATTACAATAATAATGATTAAGTTGTTATTTGTTATTGTGATAAATATTTATACTATTTTTAATTTGTTCAAATAGTAGTATATAAATGTATTAAATATATATTGTTTATGGATGTTATCAATTTCTAACAATTTTAAAACTACCATATATTATATTATATAAATAAATAATATACTTAATGTCTAGCTATAAATGATTAATTAAAAATTGTATGCTGCTAGTTAACATATTTTTATTTGTTCCCTGGTATACTAAAAAAAATTAACTTAAGTAAATCCGGTTCAAATTGCAACATGGTTTTTTTTATTAATTACAATATCCAAACATAGTTTAAGGAATAATTGATTATAATTTTTTCCAAATTGAAAAATTATTATTGCTATACATATGTTTAGTTGATAGAAATATTTTACTGTCAATAATAAATTAAATGTCAAAAAATCTATTTATAATTTATATTTTTAAAAATATGGTAATATAAAAGTCAATTATTAATTGTCAATTGATTTTAAGGTATTTAAATCATAGATCAAATGTTTAATAGTTAAAAATCTCATAATATTAAATAAAAATGAATTTAAGTAAAATTTATATTGTTAAAATTTTTATGATAATTGTGCTAGTCAATTGTTTTATATTAATAAATGCCTACCAAAATTTAGTTAATAATAATAATATTAATAATATTAAAAACATTACTATTAGCAAGACACTGGCACCGTATTGTTATGCACCTACCGGTTCCAATTGTTCATGGTACAGGGATTGTCTGGAAAAATTACATCCCTGTGCCGACACCAGCTACGACTATGCCATAGGATTTGGAGAAAATTTTTGCGAAAAATACGGCCAAACATATCATTTATTTAGCCGACGGGGCCAACAATGGGTTGATGGCGTACGTAAGTGTCTACAGGAGCTACTGGTACCGGTGCTTGATAGTAACAGTGCTGCTACTACTACATGTAATAATATTCGACAACAAAGTTTCAATATGCACTCCCAGTGCTATACCTATGCCAATAGCAATGGTGTATCGGTGTGTAAATTGTTGCCCACCGATTGGTCGGCCATACTGTGGACAGTTAAGAGTATAGCTACAGCCAAACCCGATGTTTTACTATTGTTTGTCAAAAATGCACTAGATACTATTGGTAACTGTGCTAGATCATTATTTACATTTTAGAAAAAATAAAAAAAAATAGATTTTATAAAATAAAAAAATTTTATTTAACTATTTATAAAAAATAATTATTTAATAATAAATAAAAAATTTAACAATAGTAACTTGATACTAAACAATATTTTTTATATTGTCTAAACTAATAATTTATTAAAAATATTTTTTTTTTTCAATAATCAATTCCTAGAATTAAATTTATTTGATAAAAATATTAATACAATAATTTATTATTTTAATATCAGTTATTAATCTAATCATAACAGATAGTTATTTATTGATTTTGTTATTTTTCATCAGCACTAATAAAATTAAGTTTTTAAATTTGCATAAATTAATAAGCTTATTAAATTAGTATTAAAATTTATTATCAGAAACACAGATAAATATATACACAAAATAATATTATTAGTAATTTCAAAAACTATTACAATATTTTTTCAGTATTTTAATTATCAATGATTTATCTAAAATTAGTTTTAAGTACAAGTTTTCATATGATATTAATCATAATTTTTACTACTGCAATATTATTTGATGTAAACTACATTTATTTAAAAAAAACAAAATATAATTTTTTATATAAAAAAAACTTTATTATAGCTCAAGTTTAATTTTTTTAAATTATAAGTATTTTATATGTAAATAAATATTGTATTAGAGAGATAGATTTTTATTGTTTTATTATTTTATTTTAAAAATAATTTTTGAAAAAATAATGTTTTAATTTTTTAAACAAAAAAAAAACAACAACAAATAAGTATTAATTAATAGATTAACTTAAATAATATTATTATAAATTAACTATAAATACTACTACTACTACTACTACTGATATACAAATATTACATCTACTATTAAAATATTAAAACTTTTTTCTAAAAAAAATATCAGTTATATTATATAAATTTTGCTAACATTACAATTGCAACTACATGTTTGATGATAATAATGTTTATTATTTGATAAAAACCATACTATAGTTTAAAACATTAACTATTAAAAGTTTATCATTTACAATATAATAGGGTATTATGTAATATAATATATCACTAGAAAAATAACGACACATATTTATACACCTGTCTGTATATGAGGTGTCCAATGAGGTCTAATTAATTGCTTATCACTGCATAGTTATATCATAGCATTTATTGTATGTGTGTTTATTATTATATTAAACTACAATATGATAATATTTATAAAAATAATTTTTTTGTGACTATAAAACATTAGTTTTTTTTTAAAAATGTAAAAATATTATTTATCATTTCGAATTTTTCTTAATATAAACATTATTTTATTTTTAAAAATTAATATTATATATTATATCATAAATAATTTTTTTTTATAGATTAATGTTATAATTTTAAAAGTTTGTTTTTAAATACTGTATGTATATATGTTTGTTGATAACAATCACAAACAAACCTATCAGTCAGTCATTTAATAATAAATGTTTATATGACATAAGTGTCTAAAATATAACTGTGTTTTTTTAGTAAATATATATATATTTAAAAAATAAATGCTGTTTTATTATGTTATTATTGTTGTGTGTATGCATTTAAAACTATATAATAGTAATTAATTAATTAATTAAAAATTATATACGTATAGACATTTCTACAAAAAATAATAATAATTATTATATATCATTTTATAGTTATTATTATTATTAAACACATATGTGTTTTTTCGATATGTTACTAAACTACTCATATATTGAATATCATAATACTTAATACAAATCAATATTAACTTATAGTTTCATTTTGAATTAGTCATTAAAAAAATAAAATGTTAATTAAATATCATTATTAATAATATATATATATATAACAACATTTATATATATAGATATATAATAAATTGCTATTCACTTACTACTACTCCTGTTTAATATTTGTGACAATGGATGCACACATTTATTAAGGTTAATGTGTCTATTATTTTTTTTTAATCAAAAATATTAATATTTATTATTAACAAATCCAGTCACACATTATGTATTGTAAAGTTTAACAACACATAAATTATTTAATTGTCAAATGTATTAGTGTATTAAAAACCCAGTAAATAATATTAATGTCACACACAATGTTACAATATTTGCATTTTAAGTTTATTAATGAAATATTATTTATTAAAGCCAATCATCTAAAATCATGGACAGGTATGTAATAAATATATATATATTTTTATACTATTTATTATTTATATGAAATGTGTTATTAAATAAATTAAATATTTATATATATATATTTCCCAAACAGAAATCCTAATCTCATGTCTGATAACAATATTATTGCCAATCATATCGCAAGCAATCTATCATTTCTATCGGGTTTTTAGCAAACAAAACACTGGCCTCAAAGACCCGGAGCTGATCCATATCAATAGCCCGTCATCGTCTCCGGCTAAACATACCGGTGCCGATGCGGACACTATGAGTGTAAATTCTATAACAAACTCTATGGACAACGATAATGGAGACAACAATCGGGTAAAAGATGACAATTATTACAATAATGTTTCCCTGAAAACACAGATAATATCGACACTATTTTATATGATATCTGTTAGCTTGAAATACCTGATGATGTGTATTGTTATGACAATGAATGTGACTTTAATTTTATGCCTACTTATTGGCAGTGGTATTGGGTATCATATTTACAATAATAATAATAAATTAACTTAAAATAAAAGTTAATATTATTTAATTAATTTTAATTAATTAATTAAAAACCTAACTATAGTTCAACTATTTAAAATATTTGTAAATATATTGATAGTATCTAGTCACATTTTTTTGTTAATTTAATTTTTTTGTAATGATTTTTAAATAATATTTTTATTAACTAATTATTAATATTAATTTTTAATTATGATTTTTTTGTACTGTAAAAATTAGCTTATATTTTTAATTTATTTATTTTCTAAATTATTATTAGTATTACCTTAAAATAAAAATTTCTAAATTTGTTTATTAATATTGTTAATTATTGTTTTTAAAACTATAAATCTCCATAATGTAATCATATATTATTTTTATTTGAAGTGACATTAAATTTATTTATTAAAAAAATATGTTTTTATTAGTCATTTATTTGCATTTCATTTATTTTTGTTTAATATTTATATAGTTTAAAAATAAACAATTGCGTGACAACTTTGCATTAACTTTCAAATATTGGCCAAAAATAATTGCATTTTTGTCAACTGAAAAAAGTTGATAATTACTATACAATTAATTTTCTTAAAATTGTTTTAAGAAAAATAGTTTTATAATTTTATTTTTAGAAAAAATAGCTAGGCTTAATTATAATGTTTAACAAAAATTTTTTTTGTATAAATCTATGTTGACGTAGGTTATTTTATTATCTAGCAGACAATTTAACAAGTTTGTATGTGTGTTTAAATAAAATAATAATAATAATAGACAATTTAACAATAGATGTCTACATGCTGAACAAATATACAATAAATCAAAAATAATTACAATTATTTATATAGTAAAATATAATTTAATGAAATATTTGATTGAATATATTACTCAAAAAAAATTTTTTTGTACTAATGCAAAAATGCATTGAATAAATTTAATCAAATAATTTATTTAATTCAATATATTTATTTTTTCTAGTAAAATAATTTATTACATTTTGTTACTATTTATTTAAATTATTATTATTAATAAATTAAAATAAAAATTATGTAATTTTTGTGTCTGTATGTGTAATATCTAACCTTGATCCATCAAAATTGTGATAAAATGACCTATACATTTTCAATTGAAGTGGATAAAGTAGGTAAACTGGCCATCGATGACGAATCAAGTGGGAAAAAAATATGGAAACTATCGATTATCATGTTTATGATAACTATTTCACTATTACTAAGTTAATAAAATAAATAAATATATATTTAAAATAATTTAATACTAATTTATAATTTTAATGTATATATATAAAAAACTTAATAATTTTTTTGTTACAATAATATATGATAATATTATAACTATAAATTACTGTTATTATACTGTATTAATTATTATCACTATTACTATTATACAATTTACCCAGTGATAAGTCTTTTTATTGTTGATGGCCTACAATGTCGGCAAACTGTTGACGAGGCCGACAAGTGTGGCCAACATTTGACATTTTTCGGCGATCCCGATGTACTAATACCGACAACCGAAGAGGAAATGGATAAGCATTGCAAGTATAAAGTTATTGTATTTTTTAAAAAAAAGTTAACAATAATTGATAATATGTGTCATTTTATTTTTATGTCACATTTATATAAAAAACAAACAAATTGACTTAAAACTGATCTATAGTTAATCATAAAAATTTTTATTTGTTTGTTTTTGGTGTCTATTTATTTTCTATAGGCTAATGTTTGATGCCATCAAATGTCTGCACCAATACTCGCGCACGTGTTTGCCAACATTCCCGCGCCAGGCGTTAGGCATATTTCTATATGATATGAAACAAGTTATCAACAAACGATGCAATATACCATACATGCGAATCAGTAAGCAATAAAAAAAAACGTCAGTTACGTACTACTACCGGTGCCCGGTACTGTACACTATGTTTATGCCTATCCAATTAATGCCAATTCAATTTATACATATTCATAGACTTTCTAGAATATGCCAAATGTTGGTGGCCTCGGGAACGGCTACACAAGACAAACGTTTGCGTCGATAAACATATTGCACAGTTAGAGTATATCGGCAAACATGTTGACCCGGAGTTTCAGATACCGGCCATCTGTTGTACGTCCCATCAGAGACACGACTGTATTAAACGCGAAATATCCGATATATGCGATGACCAGAACGTGGAGTACGTGATCGAAATTATTGACGGCTCCACTCAGGCTATGTATGAGTTCACGTGCGAAGGTTTTACGAGTACTAAAGCGTGCGCCAAGTATTTCAATACATCCATTTGGTCGCCGATACGTGATATTGGCAACACTGACGATGAAAAATTGTTGGCCACTCGGCATAAACACCGTAGCGTTTTGGGTCCTATTATCACAATTATTACACATTTTGATATGTAATGTCATTGTTAGTGTAGATGTGTTTAATATTTGTGTTAATATATTATATATATTAATAAATAGTTTTTATTACTTAACTTTTATAATAATAAAAGTTTAAATATTAAATATTCTGTTATTTTATTAATATTTTTTTTTGAAACATATAATTAAATTATATGTCAACACATACACACTGTGTGTAATAGACATCCAACTATTGATTTTATATTTTTTTTATTACCTTTTCTTATAATCAATAATATATTTGATAAATAATTATCCTATTATTGTCTGGAAAATTTTTTACATTTTTTGAATTTAAGTTTTAATGTGTAATTTATATTACAGTAGATACTACTGTATAGTACAGTATATATATATATGTTTTTAGTTAAATAATTAATTAAATGATTAGACAAATGGTTGACTCAATAAATAGTTTGATAGGTATTTGAAGAGTAATAATAGTCTATTCGTAGAAAATAAAAATTATTGATATTATTGCCAAAAAAATAGTGAATTCTATAAAAATTGTTATTAAAAATTATTGCTAAGTTTAAGTGAACTAATGTTAAATATTACCAACTAATGTAGCATTTTATTATCTATTGCTAATTATTGGATTGTAAAATAATAATCTATATATAATTATCATTTATATATTAGTAGAATATATATTAGTATTATAATATAACTATAATTAACCTAGTTAAATAAATAAATTATGTTATAAAAGTTATTATATTAAAAGAAATTTCTAGACTTATTATAGAAATTGTAAACAAAAAACTTAAATATATTTTTTGCAGTTTTATTCAAAAAAAAATTTCATTATTATCAGTAATATCCAGTGGATATCCATATTTAAAAATAATTTCATATATTTCTAAATCTTTCTATTAATAACAATGATAAATATAAATATGAAAATTGCACGTGAATTACGTGTTGTTTGCGCGTGCAGTCAGTTGTATGCAATCGGATTGTTGTTGAAACCACCGCTAATACCAACCCCGAGACGACACTGGACTTTACATCCACTACTGATTACTGGAGTTTTCCTATATTTTATTGTATGGAATATTTGGATACTAATTATGAGAGATATGGTCTCAATTGAAATGCATGTAATTTTTGGCGATTTTTACTACTACTATGAAAACAGTGATATCATTAGGTGTCCAACTATTTTAGTATTTTGCTTATGTCTGGCCATTCAATGTATTTATTATTACAATCACTATTGGGCCGATGTTTTGCCAACATTTATGTCCGTATTTGATATGTTGTCTGGTTTGCGGACACCCAGTAGTTGTGGTCTAACTGATGGTCAATCACTAGTAAAATATCTAAAATCTGCTAAAAAATTATTCAAATTAAACAATTTAATTGTTAGATATTTTGCACCAACATTTCCATTGAATATATTGATTATTGTCTATAAAATTGGTTTAATTAAATTTCTAATCTATGGCACACATAATATTTTATTATGTTATCTAAATGTTAGAAATCTTATGGGAATAATACTCTGGAAAGTTACATATTTTTATTTGTTATGTTTGTATCTAAGATTGAGAATAAAATCATTGAAAACAAGACTAATAATAACCAATAATAATAATAAAACTAAATATCAACTAAATTTTAGATATATTTTAAATACATTGCAATTGTTTAATAAACTTTCCAATGATATCAATGACTATAATATTAGTTATTGGTCTAAATTTTTGGCATCAATTTGGCTAATATTGGGTGTTATAATTGTATTTTGTTTGACTACATTGTGTTTTTCAGATAATAATATTTTTCTATCAATTATTATATTTAATGCCACAATGTTTTATTTGATTACATTTTCAATTATTTTATGGACAGCATCTCATATTAATAGTTTAACAAATAGACTATATTTTTATTGTAATTCATTTAGCATACAAATTATGAAATAATAAATCATAGAAAATATTTTAATACATTTATTATAGACTATATTATGTGAATAATTATTAGTAGCAGATTTTATTTTTTATATATGTAACTTATAATAATATATAAATTTAATTATTTCTATAAATAAAATCTAATTTAACCTGATTATTATATTTTTAATTGTTGACTTTTTTTAAAATTTATTTAAATATAATACAAGAACACATATTTTTTCAAGGTTAATTATTTATATAAAAAACAATTATCGTATTTACCATTATTTGAGACATCATTAATGATGATTACTAATATATTTTATATTATTTCAGACTAATTGTGTTAATAAAAATTATTATTTTTTCAACACAATAGAAAACACAATAAAAGTCATTTAACTTATAAATATTTTTTAATAATCATATAATTTAATATTTTAATTTTATTATAGTTATCATAAGTGTTTAACAATTGAATTTTACAATTAATAAATTTAAAAATATTTATTATCTTTATTATTTTTAATTTTGAATATAATAATATTAATTATATATGTCACTTTTATCTGCAAATTATGTGCAAAAAATATGCAATTTTTTAATTTATGCATAAATTTACTATTACTTATATTGTGTATGTTTGTATATATTAAAAATAAGTATTTTAATTAAAATATATATATATATTAAATTATTTAAATTAATAATTTTTTTTCTTATTTTAAGTCATTAATTTTAAGTCAATAAAATGTTTGAAAAGTAACCAAACATGCAATATAACAGTTTCAAGCGCTGATGATTGTGCCAAACATTTGACATTTTTTGGCGATCCCGATGTTATCATACCTTTAAACAATATGGATATGGACAGAGAGTGCAAGTATTTAATAGATTAACTGATATATAATATATTAATATATATATAAAAAATTCATAAATATATTTTTAAATAATAATATACAATATTATATATATATATATATATTCAAGACTTATGTTGGACTCAGCAAAATGTTTGCATAACTTTGGTCGCACGTGTTTACCGCCATTTGCCAGACACGCGCTGTTAATATTGACTAAAGATTTGAAACGTGTTATCACTAGAAGATGCCATCGACCAGATCAACGACAACGTAATTACATTTATTAAACATTTATAAATTTAATTATTAGTAAATATTTATATATCCAAAAAATGCATAAATTAAAACAAACAAATAAACATTTAATATAATTATTATTAAAAAAAATTATAATAATTATTAGATATTTTTTAATATTGCTTGTTTGACATAATAATATTTATTTATCTAATTGTAATAATAATAATCAATAATTTTTTATAAAAATTATATTTTCAAGACTTTCTAGAGTTTGCCCGGTGTTGGACACCCCGGGAGCGCATCCATCCGATTAACATTTGTGTTGACAAATATATTGTTCAACTCGAGTACATCTATAGACAAGTAGAGGACCGGTATGTCATACCGGGTATCTGTTGTGCATTTCATCAGCGAAACAATTGTATCCATCGGGAAATGACCGCTATTTGTGATACCAATAATGTTGAGTTTGTAATGAAAATCATTGACGACTCGACCCGTGCAGTGACCAACTTTGCCTGCAATCAGTACACCGATATCGGTGAATGCGATCGACACTTTGATCGGACGGTTTGGTTGGAACTACGGGCTATTGTCAACACTACCGACGAACAGTTGTTGAACTCACGGCACAGACATAAATCAGTTTTGGGACCACTTATTGATATTATGTTTCGTTTTGACAACAATTAATAATAATTATAAAAAAATTTTAGCCATAATTTAACTATAATTTCTAACCCAGTTATCAATGAAATACTAATATTTTTATCATTTAACTCAGTAAACACTCAGCAATTATTTTAATAATAATATTTTTAAAATTACTAAAATTAAGTTAATAATATAAATGTAAAATACTTATATAAGTTTTAGTTTATTTTTGCATTAGAAAATCTATGTTAATTAAAACGTGATAATAAAATACTTAAAAAAGCTTAATATTATGATATTATAAATTATTGCAACAATTTATAATATTCACAATTATATTTTTTTTTTAAAATAATTATCAATAAATTAAATAAACAAAAATTTTAGTTTTATTGATTTTTTTGTGGGTGTAAAAAATAGTCTTATCTTAAAATTTATTTAACAATTATATAAAACAAAAACAAAAATAATTATAACTAAATAAACTAAAACTAAATAAATAAATATTTAATTAACAAAAATTAATAAACTCAATTATTAATAACAACAAATAATAATAATAATAATAATAATAATAACAACAAAAATAATAATTATAAAATACTAATATTCCGGATCTAAAACATTTCTACGAAAAAATACATTTTTATAGCCAACAATATTGCCGCGCGGTTTATAATTGCACACAATATATGTCTCATTGCCGCGCGGGCCGCGACCAAAACAACGGGCACAGCCTACGTGAACAGTGTCTTTCCAGACTAATTGGGTAAAGTGTCCGGTTTTGGGCGAATATTTTGGATCACTATAGTTGTAATGTTTTTCTTCAGCGTACCTATAGTTTCAAATATAATCAAAATTAAATACAATTATTAATAATTTTGATTATGTAATTTAGCGCTTATGTATACAATTACTAACCACATGTCTACAGCTTGTTGTCCAGTACACATTTTACTGCCCCATTTGCACATCCATGCCAAATTTTCGCCAATACCCTTGTCTAGACCATCGTGACTAAGTGTTCCCTCATTTTGTGATATAGTTTGGCACCGGGACTTAGCATAGTCTACTAGCTTTTTATATTTATGTATTTAAAAAATATATATAATTATAGTTAATATTTTTAAAAATTAGATGTTATTATCTCTCTCTCTCTCTCTCTCTCTCTCTCTCTCTTTCTCTCTCTCTCTGTTTGTAATTGTATTTTATATGAAATTTAATTTAATTACATACCGATTGATCTAAAACAAAATCAGGTGACTCATGATATTGTCGATAATTATTACTGCTATTGAGACAATCATTTTGAAAATCACTGTCAGTTTCATCAGGTAATGGATGACGAGATAAACCCCCTAAATATTATTTTATTTTATTTGAAAAAATTATTTTATTTAAATTATTTAAAAAATGTAAATAATATTTTTCAGATATAAATAAATTTAGATATATTACCTATAATAGTAACTAATAAAATAAATATATTTAACTTGGACAACATTTTTTTTAAAAATTAATTATATTAACTTTTATTAATTAATAATAAATACTGTAGTAAACACTGTATATTATATATTACTTGTAAAAATATCTGATATTTATATACTTTACCAAAATATATATTTTTTATATAAAACAATGAACTAGTTAATTTCATATACTATTATACTTTAAAAATAATAGAAATATTTTGATAGTTTAATAAATTAATTAATGATTTTTATTATCTTTTTAATAGAAAAGATTATTATCATTATTTATATTATCTTTAACTTTTAAACCCAATTTACAATAGTTATTGCAATATTATTTCCTAACATACATTTCAAATATAGTATTAATCAATAAATAAAATAATCAACTTTTATAAATATCAATATAATAATAATATTATTATTATTATATATACAGTATATGACATACAGTAGTACAATGTATTATTACGTATAATAATAATCATAATGACATTTATGTTGAACAAATTTACAATATAAAACAATGAACTAGCTTATTAACAATTATATTACAAAGTGATTAAACTATATATTATTAATATACATTTACATTTACATTTATATATATTTATAAATAAGTAATTAAATTACAACTACATAGATTTACTACTGAAAAAATTTATTATATAAATATTAACAATAATAATAATTAATATAATTTTAATCAAATATAACTTATATAAAATTATTGGATTAATTTTATTAATAACTATTGTGAAAATATTTGTAAAATATATGTTACAGTGTTGTACAGTAGTAATAAATATAATTAGTACATCAACCTGTTTATAATGTAACTATTTAAATTTAAATATAGCTATTATATAAATTTTTACTGTATAATCAATTACACTAAATTTTATTTTTTACACTAAATTATTTTTTAAATAAGTTTATTAATTATTTTTTTTAAAAAAAATAACTAATTGTAAAATTATAAAATATAATAGAACTTTATGATTTTATTTTTTTATTGGTTTTTTATTAGTAATTTATACTATAAAATTATTTATTTTATTTAGAAAATATTTAAATTATTCAACTCAATTTATATATTTATTTTTTTAAAATAATTATTTTTTGTTGTTGATAATTTATCAATAAATATTAATTAGATTAATTTAACAACAAAAATTATTATATATTTCTAATAAAACTAATAAAAGTTACAAATATAGAAAAAAAACATAATAAATGTATGAACCATTAAATTTATAATATAATTAGTTTTGATCAATATGTTTTCTTTACTAAATTAATTAATTAAATTATTAACCTATTATTATTTATAATGGTGATTTTATTGATCAAACTAGAATAATAACAATATTAGCTAATATTTTTGGGTTTATAGTATTAAAACATTTAAATATGTTTATTAAATATAATTTTTGTTTCAATAGTTTTGGCATTTTATCTAAACTAATACAAATAGTTTACATTTTAGTGATAGTATTTCATGTTATACAATGTCAACTAAATAGTAAGTTTCAATATATATATAATATATTGAATTTAATAATAATAATAATAATAATTATTTATTATTTGTTTTTTTTTTGATAAATAAATAATATTTTCCAACATTTAGAGGAAACTTCAATTGAAACCATCGGAAGCCCTGAACCGAACCCAATATCAGTATCAAACGTTTCGCCCCCACCTCCACCCCCATTCACAGTCACTTTACAACAACAACAACTACTACAACAACAACAACAACAGCAACAACAACAACAACCCACCAAACAGTCTATTCAATCGACTGAATCGCCGGTTAAAAAATCGGACGACACTTTGAAAACTTTGTCCCGGTCTAAGGCCAGTGTATGGGTCGACACCAATAAGGGAAACATTTTTAGGTAATATACAATATATTTCATTGTTACTGTAAAGTAATATATTATCATATTTTAATTATATATTTATAAATCTCTCTCTCTATCTCTCTCTTTATTTCTTATTTTCTAACATAAGTACGAGCATTGGTAGCAGTCATCTGGAAAACAATAGAAATGCTGCCGACGGTAATGGTAGTGGTGGTCAACCAGTTGGCCGATCGTCAAACATGTTGCTCACATTAATGCTGCAACCGGGCGGCCAACAGCCGGTTCGGGAAGTATCGGCCAACGATTTAGGCAATGATGGCAATTTGAAACAAATTTTGTTGCTTCTCCAACAACAACAAGATATGAGTGAACTGTTACTCGAAAAACAGGAAAAAGTCGAAAAACTGAACGTCCATTTGCAGCAACAGGTATGTACTGAAGGTATGTGTGTGTGTGTGTGTGTGTGTGTGTGTGTGTGTGTGTGTGTGTGTGTGTGTGTGTGTGTGTGTGTGTGTGTGTGTGTGTGTGTGTGTGTGTGTGTGTGTGTGTACTGTATGTATATATATGTATGTGTGTATTGTGTGTGTGTGTGTGTGTGTGTGTGTGTGTGTGTGTGTGTGTGTGTGTGTGTGTGTGTGTGTGTGTGTGTGTGTGTGTGTGTGTGTGTAAATTTGGGAGTTTATAGTAAAATAAATAGCAGATATTTTGAGTTTTAATGTTAGACCAGTTAGATAAGACACACCACACACTGTTATATTTTAAATAAATATATGTATATATTATATATTTTATAAAATAATTTTATTTATATTAAGTGAAAATATTTTGTTGTAATTAATTAATAGGTTAAACACCAGCACCTGTTGATTGTCGAACTACTCGAGCAAATCAAGATGTTTCTCGAGCTCATCAATTCGCCCAACTATTCGGGAACCGGCGGAGCACCGGGAGCCGTAAAATCCATGTCATCGGAAGACAAACTAAGGGCCAAATATGGACCGACCGGATCAAATGATCCGTCGACTAGTGCTTCGTCGTCGGCCAACGCCGTCATAACAGCACCAAAACCTAAAGGTCCGGATGAACAACAACAACAACAACAAAGACCTAACTTACCCATTGATAGCATCTCACCCACCCCTACCCCTACCACTACTACCACCACTACTACTACTACCCGAACTAATAGCAATAATCTTAAGCTTAGAACCCGATTAGCACCCATACTAGCCATCAGTGATGCAGAAACTAAAGGATTATATAAGCAAAATAAATTTGTTTAATGAATTTTTTATAAAATAATTTATTATTATAATTAAATTACAACAATTAACTTAATAATAATAATTATTATTATAACTTTTAATTATTAAATTAAGCAAAAAGAAAAAACATGATATTTTTCATATAATTTATTTTTCTTCTATTAATATTTTTTTTCTTCTATTATTTTTTTAAATATTATTTTTAATTCATTTTTTTTATATTAAATAATATTTTTTAAACAATATTTTTTAAATAAACGTTTTTCCCTTTATTTTTCATTACAGATAATCAAGTATTGAACACTAGAATGAACACAAATACTAAAAATGTCTCATAAAATTTAGTGATAATAATAATAATAATTATAAAATGAGTAATAAATCTTTTAAAAGTTATAAATATTTAGTTATATATTATTTTTAAATGAAAAAAAACATATTTTTTATTATAATTTTTAATATTTAATTTGCATAATTTAGATCAAATATATAATTTTATAATAATAAATATAATTATAATGGTTTTACTGATCTTTTTAATCATATTATATATTAAAATTTTACAATTATACAACAACAAAAAAACAATAAAAATTATTTAACGTTTTGTTTTAATAAAGTGTAAAAACTAGTACACAAAACAAAACAAAAAAATATAATCATCTTTTATATACTGAATTGTATTATATAATTATTAATTATTATTTAAATATGTTATATCATATTACTGTTTATGCAATAGTTATAAACAATGAAAAATATAAAAGGAATTTAAAATAAATTATTATTATTTTTTTGAAAAATATATATTTATAGTTATATTAGTAATTAAATTCTTATTATTATTATTAGTATTTTAATGATTTTCATAAAATCCCATCAGTTTTTATTTTTTTTGTTGAAATAAAAACACTTATTTAGATTTATTATTTTCGTGTATCAAATATGCCATATTTTTAAAATAAATAAATCTACTAATATATTATAAAATAGTATATTTAATACATTTAATAAAAAAGATTTTTCATAATAAATAATAATAATATTAAATCAAGACTTATAATTGTAAATCATATTCAAATGTTTTTTTTTCTATTTTTAAACTAAACATACAGTAGATTTTGAATAATATTTTTTTAAAAAATACAATTATATAACTTTTGAAATAAAAATGTTTTTTTCATATTGACCTTAAAAAATAATCTATTGTTATGACTGATGCTATTGCTTATTATTATTAATATTATTATTATTAAATATTATTGTACCGTATATAATATGGTGTAAAAATAAAATTAATATTGTGCACGAAAATTAATCATACAGATATATTACAATAATATAGTATTTTTAAAAAATTGATTTTAACATAATAACTTTTTTTTTAAATATACATATATGCTATTATATAATGATTATTGATTGTAAAATCATTATATTGATGATTATATATTACGTAAATATAATGAAAATTATTTTTCTATTTTTAAATTTATTAAAATATTTATTTATTTATTAAAAAATACACTAAAATAATGTATAATTATTTATAACACGAAAATACGATTATTTTCAATTAAATAAAAAATATTTATTAAAATATTTTGAAAATAATTGTATATATATATATATATTGGTCTTTATTATCTAAATATTTATTACTATATTATCTAAAGTTACTAAAGAATAAAACAATTGCATTATTAATAAAAAAAAATACATTTGAATAATAAAGTAAAAAAAAATTATTTAATTAAAAATTTAATTTTTAGTACAATGTTTATATCGTAGTTTTATGTCACTACATAATAAAAAAAACATAATAATACAATATTTAAAAACTATTATTTTTCATAATGATGAACTTAAAACCCAATAAATAAATCTCTATGTATTAAATGGTTTTTATTGGGATTTTATTTTTATATTAAGATTATTGATAATTCACAAAATAAAAAGATTTAATAAAAATCAAATACAATTGAATTAAGTCTAAGACATAATAAAATAAATTCACAAAAAAAACAAACACAAATATTATAAAAGTAGTAATAATTTATTTTTTTTAAAAAAACAATAATAAACTAGTTTTCACTTTTTATATCTATATCAAACTCAAATATATATATATATATATATATATATATATAAATATATAATCAATGAAATAACTTTTCAACATAAAAATCAACACTTTTATGGCCTCCCGGAGTCAATACAAAAAAATATTTTGCTAAAAAACATATATACTGTATATACAGTTTGTAATGTATATAAAAATCACTAACCAGTTATATCATCAAAAAAAAACTATCGGTTCATTGATAGGGTTAGTAATTGTATACTAAATATATTCTAATAATAATAATAATAAACAAAATAATTATACAACTGTTCATCAAAATGTTCCCAAAAAAATAAAGATTTTTCAATTGACTATTCACACGATAACTATATTACTGACTGACTGAATGAGATGAATAAAAATCCTATTATTTTTTAATTATAATAATTCATGAAAATTAATATTTATTTTGTTATTTTATTTTATTATTTTTTTCCAGTGCAAAGCAATATAAAATACTGTATAAGTTTCATATATTTTAGTTTTATTTAGGTATATATATATATATATATTTATATATGTATGCATTTTACGAGTTTATGTATACAAACTTTGTACTGTCAATTATGTTATGCAATAATGGACAACAAGTTTTATTTTTATTTTTTTGAGAGGGGACTGGTATATCATCACTGTTTGGTTTGTTTGTGTGTTTGTTTGTTAGTAACGTATTAAGTCCAGTCCAGTTATTATCAGTATATTTATATATACAGTATATATACTATACTTACTATTATTAGACTATCAAATACAGTATATAATGATGACTGATATATGCCTGTGAAATGAGTTTAATAATATGTATGTATTTAAATAATACTGTAATAATATTAATAATAGGATAACACATAAAAATATTTTTTTTAAAAAAAGTTTAAATACAAATGTTTGTTTGTTATTCTAGTATTATTTTTATTTTTAAAAAAGTATATACTATGTAAGTGCAGTTATGAACATATATGTTTTTTTTGTTTTTTTATCATAATCTATTAAAATTAATAATATACTTTATAAAAAATTATAGTAGTTATTTTAATTAAGTTCAATTTACATTTTTCTTTTAAAAAATTAATATAATTATATATGACTTATGTAAAATGATTGAATTAATTGCTAAATAAATTAATAAATTTATGTGAAACTAAATAATATTTTAGTTGTTTTTTTGTTGTTGTTGTGGAATAATGTTGCGGAATATATCTAATTATTCATCAATTGCACCGGTAAATCAAACTACCGGTGCATATTATATCAAGACAAATAGATTATCGTATTATTTATTAGATTTTTGGGATGACATTGGTGATCCAAGTAAGATGTTAAAATTAATTTTTTTTATCAAATTGTACATGGTAATCTATTTCTAATAGATTAAATTTATTTTAAATATTTTTATATTATAGATACTACTTAAGTAGTATTTTAATATTTATCAGGCTATTTAGATTTGAAATTTGATATTATAATTATATTTTTTTTTTATAAATATATACTATCTAATTAAAAATTTTAGCATGTATTTTGCATTATATTTATATAATAAGTTTACTTTTACAAATTACATATATTAAATAATTATAATCTATTTTTTTAATTATTAAATATTGCTTTATTTTAATATATAACTTTTTATAACTAATAGTTAGTATTTTAAATATAAGAATAATTTCAGATTCAAATAAATTATTAGAATAACTTAATTATAAATAATATGAAAAACTAATAAATATTGATAGCATTTAGATATAGTTAGTTACAGTTAGTTAGTTAGATATAAAGTAAAATTATTTCACGATATCCTGAGATGACAACAATGTAATATAAGTCCTATTCATTAACTAAGTTATCATATTTACCGCTTAGAGTCTACCGTAAGCTTTACAGTCATTGTAAGCATTAAATATGATAACTTAGTTAATGAATAGGACTTATATTACATTGTTGTCATCTCAGGAACTTTTGAAATAATTTTATATTATATAATTATTTAAGATATTTATGAATTTAATTTACAAGTTGTTAATAGTTTAACTTTAATATCATAACAAACAAATAATTATAACTAAATAATTTTTTAAAAAAATTAAAACAAGGAACCCGACACTTACCACTATTAACAAATGGACCATGGACACTGTGCGCCATTATGCTAAGCTATCTGATTTTTACCCGACACATTGGACCGGCATTGATGAAGCACAGGGATCCCTATACACTGAGACATACCATGTTATTATACAATACAGTATTGGTTGTGTGCAATGTTTACTTTTTTATCGAAGCACTGGTATGCATAGGATTTGGCCGAGATTTGCTGGACTTTCAGTTTCCCAGTAAATATGATACGAGTCCCCGAGCCATGCGTATGCTATACTCGGGTTATGCCTACTTTTTGACCAAATTCCTCGATCTGTTTGATACCGTTTTCTTTGTGCTCAGAAAAAAATACTCTCAGGTAAACCAATATATTTTTTTAATTTAAATAATAACTATTTTATAATAAAATATATATTATTATGATAGATTTGTGTTGAAAATATTTTTTTTAAATTTCGTATAATTAAAATAATAAGTTATAAAAACTGTGACTATATATATATATTAATTTAATTAAATGTTAAAAGTGTTTAAGTTATGTTAAATTGTATTGATTTATAATTTTAATTTATCAAAATAACTTATTTTTATAAATTAAAAATATGTAAAATAATTTTTGCTTATACAGTATTTATACAGTAATTAAAAAAACAAAAAAAAATTATAGTTAAATAATTATAATGAGTAAATTATAGCATTTTTAATATAATTATTGTTGATTCACGATTTTAATGTTAATGTTATTTTTAAAATATCATATATAATATAGTTTTATTTGTTATTATTATTTAACTAATGAGAATTATACTATTTATTATAATAAATAATTTTATGTAACTATTAATAAAATTAATCTAATTTTTTTATAAACATATATTATTATTTTTTAAATTATTCAACATTAACAATCAAGTTTAATTAAATAATTTTTATTTGTTTACCTAATTGTTTTGTTTAAAATTTTTAAAATTTTGTTTTATTTAGAAAATAAGTTTTTGTAAAATTTTTATAGAGTTGTAGAGTATTTATATTTATTATTTGTTAATTAGTTATCTAAATATTTTTAATTAATTTTCAAAATCAATTCATATCTTACAAGATATCTTATTAATTGTTTAATTTATAAATATTGGCTAAATATTTGTCCATTTTTAAAAAAAACATTGTGTTAATTAATTTACTTAAATATTTATATAATTTCTTACAATTTAAAGTTTAAATTAAGTTTAAATTTTAAACTATTGGTTCACTTTACTAATATAAATACTTAAATATAATTAATAAAGTTTAGCATATATGTATTATAATTAATTTGTTACAGTTTGTTGTTATTGTAATTATTAATAAATATTGATATATACTGATATATAATTTTATATATAATTTATAGTATAAATTTTATACTGTGTATACTGTATTTTAATATACAGTATATTTAATAACTTAATAAAAAAATAGTTTACTTATATCAATTATAAGTAATTAACACTATGCTATGTTGATAACATTATATTTTATTATGAATATTTATTTAGATAACAATATTGCACCTGTATCATCATACCATTGTACCAATGTTGGGTTGGATGGCCATGAAAATATCACCGACAGCAGCACCGATAGGCTTGTTTGCAATTGCCAATTCATTTGTCCACACCGTTATGTATACCTACTATGCACTGTCGGCACTGGGACCCAGTGTACGACCCTATCTATGGTGGAAAAAATACCTAACAATACTACAATTGTGTCAGTTTGTAATCTACGGTGTCTACTATACAGTGTTTCTATTTGCACAGTCAGGCTATCCGGCCATCTATATGTCCATTGGTTTTATTCAGCCGTTTATATTTTTCTATATGTTTTGGCAATTTTTTCACTACTCCTACAATGGTAGAGGTAATAATAATAAGCATAATAGCACCGGTAGTAAAAAACAATCATAACCCCTATTAGTGTTTGTTATTTAGTTAATTGTATGTGTTTTTTATAAATATGTTTATTTTTTATAACATTTTAATTTTATTATTATTATTTTTTTATAATAAATAACTTTAAATTCATAAATATTTCATTATAATTTATTTTTAAAAAAACATATACAAAAATGATAATTTATTTTGTTTTTAGTTTATAATCTTTTATTATTATTTATTATTATTTATTATTATTTATATATTTTTACAAAAATACTAAAATGCTATAAAATCTAAAAATATTAATAGTTTCATTGCATTTTTTAAAAAATTTAATGTATATAATTTTTTTTGCTAACAAATAAATTTTTAATTAGTATAACAAAATAAAATATATTTAGCTTATTATTGTTTAAAAAATAATTTATTTTTAAAAATAGTCGTAAAATACAAAACATAAAAAAATAAATTTAAATTTAAAACAAAAACACTTTATTATGATTATTATAATAATCTTAAGTTATCATAATTTTTTGACATAAATATACAGTAAATATATTTCAAATTTTAAAACTATACTAAAAAATACTTAACTGACAACATATCTGATACGTCAAAGAAAATTAAAATATGCTAAACTTGTTTATATTTAAATATTATTTATATATATATACTTTATATATTGCACTGAATATAGCAATCAAAAAATACATACTTATCCTAAGATAATAATTATAATATTATATGATATGATTTGATGAAAATTAAAATTTTTTGTTTTTATTTGCAAAAAAATTGATATACAAATAATAACTTTTATCAATAAATAAATATATAATAAATTTATTTTGTGTCCACTTATTTAAATATATTTTAGCATTTAATTTAAACCTCCTCGAGGGGGGGGGATTGCAATACATATAAAAATAAATAAAACTTATACACAAATTAACTAAATAATAATAATAATAAACAATATTTATTAACTTTATTTTTAGTATTTTATATCAATATATCGATACTATAAATTAATAGGACGTATGTAAATTTATATGTTAAACTATTTATTATTTTTTTAAAATTTTAATTTAAATATAAAAAACTATTTTTATTTTCAATATACAATAAAAACAACTCAACTATTTATACAAAATAAACTCAAATGTTATTACAGTAAATTAAATTACTTTTTGTTTATAAAAAAATAAAACCATATTATCAATAAATTAATTATTAATTATACTAACAAAAATTTAATTTAACTAAAATGTTTTTAAACTTATTTTTTTCCCACATAAACAAATCAATGATTTTTTTATCTATTAAATTAGCATTTAGTCAACTCATTGATCTGGACACAATTATTATTTTTGTTTTCTCAATGAACTTATGTATATAAAATATTTTGACATTTTATTATCTGACAATTATAATAAACACCTAATTAATTATAGTAGAATTTTTTTCAACAAAAAAGTTTAGTTTAGAAAATTAGATTATTAATTTAAAACCCTGATCAAATAATTAAAAAAAAAATAATATCATTAACTATTAACTATGTCTGTGTGTGTGTGTGTGTGTGTGTGTGTGTGTGTGTGTGTGTGTGTGTGTGTGTTTGTGTCACTGGTTACTAAAAATAACACACTCACTATCAATAATTAAAAAATAGTTTATTATAGCATCATATAATAATAATAAAATACAGACATATATATATATATATAAGTAGTGCAAGTTTTTAGTAGTGTTTAAATAGCGATTTAAGGCTATTTTTTGTTTGAAAACCAGTTTTCCGCACTATTAGTACAGTTATTTTACTATACAGTACCTAACCTAACATAACAGCACAGTTACTATACAGTGTATACACATACACACATACAGTATGACTTACAACTATGACACCTGACTTTTTTAGCAATTTTAACGGAATGGGTGGGGGAAAGCAATGAAACACATATTATAATTATTATTTAAGTTTATTATTGTATATACAGTATATATATATATATATATATATATATACAGTGCAAGTATATTGTAGTTTAAAAACTTTGTACCGTATGTATTAAAGTTTTTTTTTTATATAAACACTATGTATTATTAATAATTGAGATTTTTTTTTATTATTATTTTAGTTGTTCACTACAAATCATAGAAACTATTTATTTCACTATTTATTTGTATTTTTTGCAAAAGAAAAATTTGATTTTTTTTTAGTTTATTAGTAAATCACCGCATAGTTAGTGTGTGTGTGTGTGTGTTTGTTTGAGTTTATTTGTGTAAACAATTTTTTTTAAATTAGTTAAATTTGGATTATATCGGGGTGAAATAAAGTAACCAACAATTTATTTTTGTTGTTATTGTTTTATACATTTAAACTACAATTACAACATACACACCATCACCTCATCACTAATTTTTTGAAAGATGACATTCAATCGCACACAACATCCTATACTATCACTACATCAGCCCTATCACCGATACGGACAGCCGCTAACGGGTGGACTGTCCTACTATTTGATTGACTTCTGGAACGATGTCGGCGATCCCCGTAAGTAAACATAATATTTTTCATTGAAAAAAAATCTACATTAACTAAAATATTTTCTTTAACAAATTAAAACAATTTAATAAAATTGATAGAAATTTGCTTAATTTAATAATTGATAGATATTTGAGTTTTAATTTCTATTTTTATTTAATTCTAATTTAATTTTAGTTTAACATCAATATTTTACATTGCTTAACTATTTTCTATATAATTTATTATAAAATTAAAATTAATATATATATATATATACTTAGGTACCCGGCACCTACCTATGATGGACAATGGTCCATGGACAATGTTATCGATAATGGCATCCTATCTAGTGTTTGTCCGATACATTGGACCTCAGCTGATGAAAGATCGACAGGCATTTAGTTTACATTATCTAATGTTATTTTATAACATATTATTGGTTCTCATCAATGTCTACTATTTTGCCGAAATGCTTGCCTGTATTAATTATGGCTGGGATTTAATGGACTTCCAGTTTCCTAATAAATTTGATGTCAGTCCCAAAGCTATACGTTTGTTATACTCTGGTTACGGCTATTTTTTGACCAAATTTTTGGATCTGTTTGATACCATATTTTTTGTGCTCCGAAAGAAATATTCTCAGGTATTATATATTTATTTATTTATTTTAGTTATTTATAAAAATGTTTATATTTAATGATTTTATAATACTATTTTATATAAACACTTGATAAAAAAATAACATTATCATTAATATTAATAATATAATATTTTATATGATATTATCTAAAAAATATAATCAATTTATTTAATACATTTTATTTTACTATATTAAAAAATAGTCGATTATTTTTCAATCAATTTGTTTATCAAATATTATTATTGTTATTATTTAATAATTTAAATTTTATTATAATTAAGATAAAATGATTAAACATTATACATAATATCTATTATATTAATCTCGTTACTCTTGTCTATTAAATAATATATTTAATTTATATTATATTTGCTCTTTGGTTAAAATTTTGATATACTATTGTAATTATATATTTTTTAATTAATTTATCATTATGATTACTGATTAGCCTAAATGTCATAATTATAATAGTTTTTATTGACATTTTTTAATTACATTATAAGTAAAATTTATTACATAAACTATTTTTTTTAATTTGTTTGTTTCTCATATCTAAAGTGTTACTGACAATATTAAATAAATAAACATTAATACTATTTGAGTTATATAGTTATTAAATGATTAAACAAAAAAATATATTAATATATAATTTAAACGATAAAATGTTAAAATAAATTATTTTTTTGTTTAAACTAATATTTTTTAATAAAAGAAAAACCCATTTAACTGTATATACTGTTTATGTATAAAAACAACAAAGTATTCAAAAATCAAATAAATAACTCAAAAGTTTATTATACTGTAAATAATATTAATTAAAATAAACATAACATTTATTTATTTTATAATAATATAAGTAATAATTAATAATAAGGAAATTTATAACTAATTTAACTGAACATATGATTCATTTTTTTTGCTGTTAAATAACATTTTGAAAAAGTTATTTATTTTTTTAATTAAAAGTTACTACTTTTCCCTAAAAACAAATACATAATATATCTTTTAAATTATTAAAATATTTATAAATTAATAATTTTATTAGGTATTATTGTATTGTTTTTTTATTGTCAAATAGTATTTTATTTTTTGAGGACACATAAAATATAGCATATATTAATATATATATATAATAACATATAAATATACTAAATAAGAGAGAAAACTAGTAATTTTTATAAATATCGGCTAAAATATCAGCAATTTTTGTTGTTGTTGTTGTTGTTAACGGACTCACGATTTATTTATAACATAAATCTGACCTCAATTTATTTGGTTAATATTTTTATTTTATTTTTTTTGTTTCTAATATATGTTTCATTTTTATTAAATAAGATATTATTAAAATATATATATATTTATATAAATTAGATGGATATATGTTATAATTAATACACATAAACATAGTTACATTAATGTCTACAAATAAATTAAAGAGAGAGAGAGATAATGAGTTTATAAAAAAAATGTTAATTATATTATAAATTATTTTTTTTAAATATATAAAATTATTAGCTGTTATTTTTTTGAATGTAGTTTTTTTTATTTATGAATTATTTAAATACCAAAATTAATTTTTTTCTTCTCTAAAATACAGTTTAATTTTGATGTATTAGTTAATTCTCTTTAATTGAATTGAGCCATGGGCATTTTACTATTTAATAATAATAATAATATTAAATGTTATAATTTACAAATAATTTTTTTTTACAATTAGAAATAGAAATTATAATGAATATTTATAGTTGTTTATAGTAATGGGTAGTATGCAACATGCAATATATATATCTATTAATATAATTATCAAATTATCATGATTTTTAATATTTTAGTTTAGTATAAGTTTCATGTTTTTATTTTAATCAACAACAAAATTATATAAGTGCATAATTTAAAAAAATTAATTTATTATAAAAATAAATAACTTTTTGTTTGTTTGTTTGAAAAATTTAACTGATTATAATAATATTAATATATATAATATTACTGTTATGTTAATAATAATTAAACTATTAATTTTTTAAACTTCTAAATACTTTATGGGACAGGTATCAACACTGCATCTATACCATCATACAATAGTACCGATGCTCGGCTGGCTAGTGATGAGGATATCGCCGACAGCGGCACCGGTAGTCCTGTTTCCTATTTGTAATTCTGTTATACATGCAATCATGTACTCCTATTATGCGCTGTCGACTTTCGGACCCCGTATTCAGCCATATCTTTGGTGGAAAAAATACCTAACAATACTACAGTTGTATCAGTTTGTACTCTACGGTCTATATTTTACGGTATTTCTATGCCTACAGACCGGCTATCCGCCCATCTATACATCAGTAGGTTATGTACAGCCGTTCATATTTTTCTATATGTTTTGGCAGTACTTTAAATGCAATTATTGCACAAATACTAGTAATAATAATAATAATAAAAGTTTCAGTAATAGTATTACAAATAAAAATAATAATAACAATAATAGTAAAAAACATAAATTATAAAATTTGCATCAATTGTTTCTACAGTATATATTGTAATTATTTTTTATTAGTAATCAATGTGTTGTCTAATATCTTTAAAAACAACTGTTTTTAGAAATTTATATATAATTATATAATATTTCATTTTAATATTTATATAATAATAATAATATCATAATAATTAATAATAATGTTATCTTTAGTTTTTATATATATTATAAATTTTTTATTTAATGTGAAGACAAATAAAAAATTTCAGAAATCTAATAATAACTATGAAATCGATTTGTTAAATATATTAATGATAAAAAAATGCTACAATTTATGATTTTATTACTATGTTTTTATTATCTAGTTGTTATTGTTTTTATTTTGAAATATTATTTTTTAAAATAAATTGTTTTAGTTTAATTTTATGATTATCTATATAAATATAGCCTCAAATAATACAAATAATAAAAGATTTATTTGATTAATTTTTTTTAATTATCAATAATATATATATATATCTTATTTAATGTAAATAATTTTTATTTTCTCAATTTTTTGTTGTTTTTGTTTAATCATAAAGATTAATTGATTTTGATAGATAGTTATTATAAATAGAAAGCATAAATAATTTTATTAAATTTTAAAATAATAAAAAAAGAAAGCATAAATTTTATTAAATTTTAAAATTAAAAAAAATAAATAAAAAATTAAAAAATATTTACAAATTGTATATTTTTATTTAATCTTATAAATATGTAATAATAATAATCAAAATAAAATAAGGTATAATTTCAATTAAAAATAAACTCTAAACTAAAAAATAATTAATAACAATAAAATCAATAAATTAGCCTAATCAATTTTTATAATTTATATTTTTTGTTTTTCATAATTTAATCTAGTACTATTATTATCAAATTTGTTTGAATTATATTTATTAGTAACTTTTTTATTACTACTACTATTATTATTAGTATTATTATTATAACTTTTTAAATAAAAATCAAAAAACATTAGGAAAAACAATGGATTTTGTCCGACAACAAAATAAAACCAATCCATCGGATAATCGGTTTGCTTGTAATATAGTAGACAGCCATAGGAGCCGCATATGACAAACTGCATGATCTGAAACAATGTTAGATAACGTTTCCACCAGAGATAGGGTCGGACAGCCGGTCCGAAAGCTGCCAGTGCATAGTAACTGTACATTAGTGTATGGATGGCCGAATTGAGCAATACAAACATACGGATGATGGGTATCATTGCATTGTATTTGAATGATACCCAACATAGTAAGGGAACTACTGTATGATGATAGAGATGGAGTGACGTTATCTGACTGTCCTTTTTGCGCAATACTATGAATACCGTATCGAATAGATCAAGCAGTCGGGACAGCATAAAATACCAGCCTTTTTGGTGTAAAAAAAATAAGTGACAAATATTATTATTATTAATAAAGTAATTACTGTGATTAAAGTGATTAACAAAAAAATCAAATAATAGGTAAATTAATGTATAAAATAATATTGTATTAATTACACAAAATTACAATACATTTAGACTAATTATTGTTCATATAAAAAAATTTTGTGACATATAATTAATTGATTAATTAAACAATACTACTGTACTAACCTAAATACAAAAACCATAGTGTATTATCTGACATATCTTTACGCGATGGATAGCTAAAGTCCAAAAATATGCGACCCCTGTCCACTGATATGACTGACCAGTAAAATGCATAAACATTGGCACAAATCATGACTATATTGTAGAAAAGCATCAGTTTTTTCAATTTGAATTCTTTCCTATAAATTATAGTAAAACAACAAAAATAATACAATATATAAACTGTATTATAAACTAAATATTATATAAAATATTATTGAAGTTTATAGATATCCAAAAAAAAAGTATACCTGGATTACAGTAAAAAACTAATAGTGATAACAATTATATAGTTATAATAATTATAATAATACCGATTTTGCATAAAATATGGCAAATATACACGTGTAATGAATACATAAGCGCACATCAATGCCAGTATACGCCATATGCCACCCCTGATAAGTGGCCAGTGATTGACTCGGGGATCGCCAATGTCTTCCCAGTATTGGTCCATATAATACCAGAGTCTCTCAAAATACGATAATGACTTCATATTGTTGTTGTTATTATTGTTGTTTCGACAATAAGACCAAAAAATATATGATATTTTTTTTGCAAACAAATTATTATTATTTGTGTAACAATTTTTTTTACTAAAACAAGTCAATTATTATTGACAACAACTAACTAAAAAAAAGTTATCTAATAATATAATAGTTTGTCAATCATTTCACTTCACACTAAAGTTAAAAATTAAAACTTATTATTATTATTATTAACTATTTTAAAAATAATTTTAGTAATATTACTAATAATTCTTGAAATATTGATAGAAATATTTATTTATTTATTTTAAAACTTAAATAAGATATTTTCACATAATTAAAAAATAACTTAAAATAGATTTTTTTAAACTATTAATTTTAGTTATATAATAATAATACTTAAACAAACAAACAAAAACAATCTAACCGCACACAAAAAATATAGACACAATAGTAGATAAATTTATTATTATTATTATTATTAGTCTAAAATATATAACAATTGATAGATTTATTAGTAATACATGTGTTTAATCATATAATGATATATTATTTATTATTATTATTATTATTACCGCATATATCTATAATTGTCAACTTTTAAGGTGTCATTTATTAGACTATAGAAAACACATTTGTCTTAAAACATTTTAAGACTATCTATGCATTACTTTTTTTTAGACAATATAGTTATATAAAGTAGACTACATTATAGTAAACTATTTTTTTTTTATTATTATTGAATGTCTTCTCAATGAAAAACATTCAACAATGAACTTCATTTAATGGTTTTCAAATTTAGGCTATTATTATACCTGTATATACTATATATTTGATGAGCATATACTATATATATATATATATATATATATATATATATATATATATATATATATATTGGCAGCAAAGTATGTTAGCTAACTGTGTTAAGTGGGTATATACAAATAATAATAATGCTTATAATGTAATATGAAGTTATATAATCTACTGTATATATTATTTTGTATGTATATATATAGAAAGAGARAGAGAGAGAGAGAGAGAGAGAGAGAGACATAGTAACCTCTATTTGATAGTTGATTTAATATATATATAATAAAACCGGACCCTTATATTGTTGTAAACTTTAAAAAATTTAGGACTTTTCTCACTATTAATAGAAATAATCATCAAATCGTTAAAATAAAACATTTCTAATTTTATTAGCATAGCTGTAATATTATACAAATGCATTGCATACATATGTACAGTATTTTGTATACTATATAATATAATATGTATAATTGTATATCAATAATAACTTTAAATTAAAAACATTTCAGACAATCTATTTATTTTTTTTAAAAAAAACCTGATTTATTTGTCAATATTAAAACTAGTTAAACGGCTTTTATTATTATTATTATTATTATTATAATGTTTAAAGTTTTGACAATAATTTTTTTGTTTGTTTGTTTCTCATAATTGTATATACAGTGTATTATAAAATTAATAAATTTAATATCAAATATATATAGAAAGTATATTGAAAATTATGAAAAATAATAGTAAATTATTTATTTTATTAATTTAATTTTTTAAAAATTAATTTTAGTATAACTATAAATTATGATTTTTTATTTTAAATAAAAACAATTTATTTTAGACATAAAATATATTGCAAAAATAAAAAATTTAAATATAATTTTTATTTACAAATAAAATATTTTTTTAAAAATATTTTTATTAATTAATTTATTTTTATTTTTAAATAATAGTTTATCCCAACATTTTTTTAAATTTTATATTATAATAATGACCTAATTTATAATTTTGTTATCAAAATATTTACATTGAAATATAATTGACTGTAATAATATTGGATTCACAAAATTACGTGCAAGTTTAGACATTGTGTCCAAAAATATTTTTAAACATAAAATTATTTATAACCAAGGTCATAGTGTCAAATTTAACAATTATATAAATTATTAGTAGTTAAAGTAAATCTAAAATTTTACATTTAAAACAAATGCTTTTTTTCTAATAATCTAAAATATTGTAATATAAATAATTTATATAAATTATATTATAATTTGATTAAAAATACATAAATTAATACTTATTTATTTTTTGTAAAAATAGAAATTTGAAATAATTAAATTTTAGATAATAATTTTTAAAAAATTTCCAAAATTACTGGGCAATTTTTAAAAACTAGATGATTAGCTTTTTTTGGTAAATATTTTTATTTATTGAATAACAAAATAATAAAGACTATTATCCTATCTAATGATAAATAGGCTTTAATATTGTTTATGTGAATATAGGTGTGTATATATATATATATATGTATGTATGTGTGTGTGTTTGTGTGTAAGCTTTGTCTATATATATAATTGCAATATTTACTTAAATTTTTTGTTTATTTTGGAGGACAGGGATGACATCCACAATGGCAAGGTCTAAGTATAAACTTGAACTTCTAGTCAATTATCTATTTAAAAAAAATTAAATACTATTAGATATTGTATTAATTTGCTTTTATAACATAAAATTTTTATTTAAAAAATTGTTATTTTTGTTTACTGTATTAATACGGTATATAAATAACAATAAATCTATCAAATTATTTAAATAATAAAACTAAATTTATTTAATGACATTTGATATGATAGATAAAATTAAACAAAATTGATGATAATATATATAGTTTTTTATTATCTATTTAATATAAATATTTTATTTAATATTTTCCAAAACAATTATGAAATATTTTAGCAAGCTAATCCTATAATATATAATATATATATAAGTTACTGTATATAATATGTCAAATAGTATTACTGTTTGTTTTAAAACAAAATCATTCAAAGATAAAATCAATATCAGTAAACTAGTTATACATATATTTTTTGATATCATTAATAAAATCTATTTTTCTTTAATTTTATATATGTGAAAGTTTTGCAACACATTTATCGTTATTATTATTATTTATTTTGTTTTTAAGGGGACACATATCTTGCGAAATAAATAAACAAAAATTGATATATATTTCAATGTCTTACATAACATATTACTACAGTACAGTATATTTATATATATCAAAATATACTCTACTGTATATACAGGTATGAAACAGTGGAATATAACCAAAAGTAATTTTTCTCTATTTTATAGTATATATATATAATAATAATACTGTAATAATAATAATCAGTATAATATAAAATAGCCAATTATAACCTATTGAAAATCTATTGGAGGATAGTTTGTTAGTTTAGTAGATATATCTATTGATATATATATATAATGCCCTTCCACTAGGTAAGGGATGTCTATTACCTTCAAGCAATTTTTTTTAAAATAGCAGTATATAAACAAATTTTTATAACTAAAAATGTTTTTATTGTTATTTTATTTTGTTTAAAATAAAACTTTTACTTTCTATAAGTTACCAGTGAAAACCTCCTATTAAATAAAACAATTATACTAATTATTATTATTATTATAATACCAGTGCTCTCTTTTCATGTTGTCATTCAAATGTAACAGTGCTATCATAAAACATAGTTATTACTGTATTTATTTATTTCATTTATTTAGTTTTATTTTTGTTAACTAATCTAATGAGGAATATTCTGCATTAAAATTATTATTTTATAATAAATTGATAATTTATGCTTAAAATATGACAAAAATTTTTGCAAATAAAATATATAAATATACTATATATGCGTGAAATTTATTTATTTTATTTTTTCTATATGTGTGATCACTAGTGACGATAAAGAAAAATATTTTTATAAAAAAAACAGTTAATTGCAATAAATATAAGCAACTATATTAAATAACTTATATTTTTTTCATCAGTTAATTGAAATACTTTTGTTACATTTGAAATATTTAATATTATTTTTTTGTATATAAATATACAGGTAATAATTAATTGCAATGATTATTTATATGTAATATTTTTGTTAAAATAAAATTTATATATAATAAAAAAAAATTATAACGGTTTTGCAAAAAGGAAAATTATAAAACTATTTTGTAATAAATAAATATTTTTTTTGAAAAAAAATTTATTATAAAAATAATAATCTTATGACAATTTGTGTGATTGCCTAACACAACAAAAAAGTAATAATAATAATAATAAGTGTTACCATTTTTTTTGCAGCTGATGTGCTAACACACACACAGTGCTCCGGGAGCTCAGTGTCTATACACCAAATATCAGACCCTAAATTCAAAACATTATTAATTTCATCATCAAATTTGTTTGTGTGTTTGTAAACTAAACACTACTTTCTAAATATTATTTTATGGGTGAAAGTTATTTCAAATATATAACTATTTTTATAATATATATTAAAAATCATTGATTTTTTTTGTTTATTATTTATTAATAAATAAATAAAAAATGATTGAACACTTAATATATCCCAACAATACATCCATATCCCTGACCGCTGGCCAACAGTGCGCTCGTGACGGTGCCGAGCGTTTTGTTGAACAATTATTTTCATTATTTTATATACTCTCGCCGTCCGCCACCACATATGACAGTCCATATCAGGTGCCCGACTATGAAGTTGCCGTAAGTTTTTAATAATAACTTTTAATTTATTAAAAATATACTAAAAAAAATTATTACTTTAAATTGATCTAGTTAATTCCGGCTATTGGTTTGTTAATGATATTGGAACAGATCTTCCGATTTTTCCAACACAAACAGTTTTCCCGATTTCCCGATTTTGTGGTCAATGTCGGTTCATCTCTAATATTTACATTAGCCAGGTTAGTGGGTGGGGGGGTTAATAAATTTATTTATTTTTTAGTTTTTATTTCTACAGTATTAAACAATTTATACTGTATAGTAATTTTTTTTGGCCAATTAATGACATTATAATTAAATATAGATAAATATTAATAGTTTTAGAAAAAATAATAGTAGTGTCATACGAGTTCATTAGAAAATAAAATAATAATAATAATAAATGTTATTATAGCTAAAAACTTAAACTTTTACAGTTTATTTTAAAAATTAATAAATATATTGGTATTTCATAATAATATATATTTTTTACAAATAATAACAATTAATTAGTTAATTAATTATTTTTTTTTGTTATTCTATTAATTTAGAAACAAAAAATATTTAGCTAATATTTATTTCACAATACATGATAAACTAATACTTATATAATAACATTGAAAAACTAATTAATAATTATTTTTTTGGTTACAATAATTTTTAAAAGAGTATTTCTATTGACTGTCGTTATCAATATATTTATTTGGCTCTACGATAACTATCGTATTGTTGACCTACCGTTGCACTCGGTATGGACATGGCTACTGTCCCTACTATTAGTCGAGTTTGTCTACTACTGGACCCATCGGGCTCTACACGAGTTCAACATCCTATGGGCTGCCCATCAGTTTCATCATATGGCCGAAGACATCAACATAACCACAACCATCAGGGACTCCATTGTCGACCTCGTTATATATGATGTAAGTCATGGACATTATTACAGTACATATTGATATATTTTGTGATAAAATTAATTTAATTTATTATTTTATATATTGAATATATATAAAATATTTTTCATTTTTATTTTGTTAATTTATAATTTTCTAGTTCATTAACCTGAGAAAATTGTTAGAAAAATAATAATAATAATTTTTTTTGCTATCGATATTATATTAAATTTATTTAATTTAGTGACCATGATCCCATTAATAATTCAATATATAAATTAGATTATCTAATTTATTTGATGACAATTAGATAATTTATTTTTTGTTTAATACTGTATATTAAAATTTAATATAATTTTTTTCATATAGAAATGTCTCTAATAATAATCTATATATTTAAAAAAATAAAATAAATGTATCTATTAATATTTATATTATCAATTAGTTTAATAATATATATTCAGATTTTAAATAACTTTTAATTTACAAATTAAACAGATAATATTTTTATAGATACGGTACTAAACTAAAACAAAAAAAACTTAAATAAAACTATTTATTATACAGTATATACTGTAAAACAAAAATACTGTAGTTATAACAATCATAGACTAATATTATTTTTACATTTTATCAAGATGCAATTAATTAATATAAAACAAATTTACAGTTTATAAATTTTTGCTATTAAATTAAACCGGTTTAACATATAATACAATATAAAAAAATTATATACTGTATTCAATAATTAATATTTATAAATAAAAAATAATATTTTAAATTATATTATTTGTTTTTTTAAATAAAGATATTTCCTCTACCACTGGCCATTATAATACCGCCACCAATACTTGTAGTGCACATACAGTTTTCGCTTATCTATCAGATATGGCTGCACAACGAAGTTGTGGGTAATCTGGGTTTTATTGAGTACGTTATCAATACGCCCCGCCAGCACCGGGTTCATCATGGAAAGAACCCGTACTGTATTGACAAAAACTATGGCGCCCTCATTATGATATGGGACCGACTGTTCGGTACCTACCAGAGCGAAACCGATCCGATAGTGTTTGGTGTGGTGTCGCCGACACCGAAAACATTTGATCCAATGATCCTACAGTTTGGCTACTATCGGGATTTGTGGTCAAAATTCTGTACGGTTCAAGGTTTCGGCAATAAAATGTCGGCACTGTTCAAAGGTCCCGGTTGGGCACCGGGCAAACCCAGACTCGGACTGATTAGTGATGTACCCGAACCCGATAGATCGTTGCCTAAGTATAGCTACGATCCATACATACCGTTCTGGAAACTTGTGTACATTGGCTTTCACGGGTCGTTCCTTGTATTGGGATTTTTCCTATTGGCCGACCATCCATATGTCGTATGTATTTATAGATGTTTTACCTGATATACATACCTACAGTACCTGTATTATATCTAATATAATCTTTGCAAACCAAATAAAACTATGTCATAACCTAAACTATAAATGCTAAAATAAAATTTCAATAGTAAAATGCTTTTAAACTGGAAATTATATAGGAAGAAAAATTTTTAGAACTTATTGGTAGAAGAATAAATTTTTTATGGCTTTTATGTTAAATATTTTTTGTGGATTAAAACATTATATAAAATTGATGGAAAATACATATTTAATTATATCAACTAGGTTATTTTAATATATATATATATATATATATATATATATATATATTGATATATTTTTAACTATTAAATCTAATTTAAATTATCGTAGAATAATAAATAGATTATAACATTATTTATATTTTTACTTAAATTTATTTTATTTAAAAATATTACTGTATATGTTGTATTTTAGATTTAAAAATTGATTAATTGATATTCATAATTATTGATATAAATTAATTTACAGCGATATTCACCAATGAAAGGCTTCATTGGTATGCTTTATATCATATTTATATTGACATCGTTTGGTGCAATATTTGACAACAGGTTTTTTAATATTAATATTATTATTTCATATTTATTAAACAATTTTTTTTAAAATATAATAATAATAAAAAACACAATAACTTATTTCTAACTAATAATAATAATAATATATTCAAACAGAAAATATGCTCCACTACTGGAAATATGTCGGTGTCTAACATACCTACCGTTTGACTACTATCTGATTGCAACTGTCCACTGGTCTATCGGTCCTAATGAACAACTATTGCTTGCCATTACTCTATGGATGGCCCGACTGATGCATGTGCTGTCCGTTGTGTTTTGGCTAATCTATCAGTTAGTACTGTGCACTGCAATTGGTAACAATAGGTCGTCGTCATCGTCGGCCAATAATCACGAGTATGTTATGGCTGCCAAAGTAGACAAAGATGTCGAAAGTGATACCTCATCGATGATGGCAAGGAACCGGTGTCTGACAATATTTATCTTATTTACAATACTATTGGGTGTTATCGTGTTTCTCACTGCATGGTTGTCCCGTTTGGAGTCGTGCACTCAAATGCTTAATGAATGGAAATTTTCATAATTTTTATGATTATATTAAACATAATACACATTATGGTATTTTATATATAAATATAAAAATTCATATAAAAAAATATTTTACTTTTACAATTTATCATTTATCTATTAATCTATAACTATAAATAATTTTTTTCATTAAAAAAACATTTTTTATATATACGACGATAAATACTGTATAATAATTATACAATTATTGTATATTTACAGTACAATATATAATTATTTAATAATTTAATTTCTAAACATTTTTATTTTATTTAATATGATTCAAATTATTAAAAAAAACTAACATATTATTATTAATAATAATGATAAAAGTAATATTTTTGTTTATACAGTACATTTCATATTCAATATTTTTTCAATATTATTATTATTATTAATTAAAATACAAATTTTTCACTAATGAATCAGTAATGTTTAACATAAAAAATAATCATATATTAATTTTAATTTAATGATTATACTGTATAATCAATTATAATAAACAATATTTTTTTGTAAAAAATTATGTCTAATTAATAAATAATTAAATTAAACATTTTTTTCATAGTAGTCATTGAATTTTGCTTTTGTAACTTAATTACTAGAAAATGATAGACAAATTTGGGAAACACATTGAAAAATAATGGATTCATATATAAAAAAAATTATTTAATTAATAATAATAATTGATAAATAAGTTTACTATTTTTATTAATATAAAATAGCTTAATAAGTAAAATATTATTTATAATAACTATTATTTTGATAAATAAATCTTAAAAAATTTTATTAAATTAATAAATAATAAATAACAAATATTTTTTTTATATAAATTGAGCACTTTTAACAATATTGAATAATATAATAAATAGTAATAAATATTTTTTATTTTTATTATTATTATTATTACTGAATAAATCATATATTTACAAAATAGCTATTTATCGGAAAGTTTTAAATAATATATATATATAAATATAAATAAATAAAGTATTTTTGGATTTTTATTGAGCTTTACTCTTGCATTTAGACTTCAGATATGATTTGATATAAAAATTGGTAAACAAATAAAAAAATAGTGGACTCTGTATGAAACCAAACCAAAACCATGTGGACGGGTAACCGGTTTGTAGTCGACTCAATATCAATGAATAGGCAATAAATATGACAAACTGTGTAATTTGGATCTGAGTTATATAACGTTTCCACCATAGATAGGGTTGTATAGCTGGTCCGAAAGCTGCCAGTGCATAGTAGGCATACATAATTGTATGGACCAGTGAGTTGAATATGCCAAACATCTGGAAGGCTGGTACCATTGGCATCAATCGCATGGTCATCCAGCCGAGTATGGGTACAATAGTATGATGGTATAGGTGCAGGCCGGTTATCTGGCGATCACGTTTGCGCAATACAAAGAAAACAGTGTCCAATAGGTCGACAAATTTGGTCAGCCAGTACAGATAGCCTGTCCAGGCAAGATCCTGGGCACGGCTGCTGGTATCAAATCGTGACGGAAACTGAAAGTCGAGAAACGCCTGGCCGTAGTGGGAAAGTGTGATAAATTTGGCAAAAAAGTAGCCGTTAAATGCTACCATCAGTATATTGTAGATCAGCATCGGTGTACGTAATTGTAGACCAGGTCTATTGGCCATTAGCCACGGACCCAGTCTGAGGACAAATATCAGATAGCAGCTCATGAATGCCAGCATCGGTAGCGGACCGTCGGTAAGCAATGGCAGATCAGCACTGACCAGACAGCCCTCTCGTTGCCAATAGCCGTGAAATACATAATCCCATAGTTTGGCAAACAGTTTATAGTTGTTGTAGTCAACTGTTGCCGATAAGGATGTAGTTATGTTGTTATCGATGGCACTGATAGTAGATATGTTTATCTCAGGCGATACAAGTGTTATTGGGTCAGTCATACATTTAGTTGAATACATTATTAATAATATTATTTGATAATATTTATTACAACAAAATAAAAACTTGTTTAAAAACAAATTAAATAAATATAAATAAACTACTAAAATAAATATTGATAAATAATAAAACTTTATATTATGATATAAATAACTTATTCAATGCTTGAATACTCGAAATATGATTGTAGGGGACAGTCATCTTTCATCTTATATATACATCCAGTTTCATAAACTCTCTCCTCTCAGACAACATTCCGTATTCAAAGTTTTTTTGGGTACTTTCCCAGTACTTTTACATTAGGATTTACATCAAAAATTATATGTATTTTATGATACAAAAATTTTACTCTTTCTCTCTCTCTCTCTCTACTAGTTTTATATGTATTTTACTATATGATTGCTGGGATTTTCATAACTTGCATTTAAAATCCAACCAAACACTGTATTTACAATGAATAGGCCTCAAGCTATATACCGGTACGAGATATACATACTAAATATATCAATAGATTATTTACATCAAATTATTTAGTAATAAAGAGAGAGAGAGAGAGAGAGAGAGAAAGAGAGAGTATAATTTTAAAAATATTTCATATTATATATTGATTGAATAAATTATTTTTTATTATTATTAGCGTAAAAATCATAATTACATTGGTTACTACATACAATATATACCATTATTATTTATTATGATTAGTCTAGAAAAAAATATTAAACAAGTAATATTAGAAAATTTATTGAAGGCCAGTTAGGAGTGGGGCTTTTTGCTGCTCAGGTATGTAATATCTCTGTGCTATCTTTTGACTTAGTTTTTTGTTTGGTTGTAGTTTACGTATTTATAATAATTATTATGAATTACATATTTAACAAAAAATTTTCTCATACGTAATAGTGATTTAATTATTGTTTATCCATTTTTTTAATTGAAAATTTTATAAATAAATAAACTTTTTTATTTACTATAAATGTCAATAATATTTATATAAATTTACATGTAATTATATATATATATAATCATTTTTATTTTTATATTTAATTATTTTTACATTTTTATTAAGTTATGAAACTAAAATTTTTCAATCATGTTATTTCCGTAGACAATTTTTACTATTATTTAATCAATGTAATCAATTACATAAAATATGGAAAAATTAAAGTTTCCAAATAAAAATTTTATTATTAAATATTTAATTGTTAAAATATTTATACAGGTGAAAGCATATTAAATTTTTTTTTCAGGAAAAATTTTAATACAATTACTTTGAAATACTTAAAAAAGTTATTTATGATTAAGTGGTACTATCATATTTTATAGTTTATTTTAACATACAGTATATTGTATATATATATATTAATATAATATATTGATACAAACAAACAAACACATACACATACATACATAAAAATAACTAAAATTTTAAAATAATAATTTACAACAACAAAATAATTTAATAAAAACTTAATAAATAATTATTTTTTCATATTTATATACTCATACCAATAAGTTTTTGATAAAACATATTTGTCATATAATTGATTTGTGTGACAGTAGATAAAATTGTCAAAAATAGTGTCGTATAAAATAGGGAACCGGTTAAGACAAACAAAGTGGTAAATATATCGTTATCGACAAACAATAGGGCTGTCAAACAAAATACAATAGTATAGCCGAGATCAGCCCAGATTGTACCCAAAAATTTTGACCAATAACTAGTATTATAGTCATCAATATCATTGCACAGTGTGTTCAACGATTGTAATATATTATGGATATTACGGGCAGTCAGTCGATGTTTGTTAGCATGGATTGTCTTATTCAATGATTTTATACGCATTTTCAGATAATAACACAACAGATATAAATAGGTAACTTTCCAGAGTAATATTCCGGCAATATTATGTGTAACATGACAGAATATTGGAAAATTATGCGAACAATAAGCTAGAAATTTCCATAGACCAACATTATATAATATAATAAATTCAATTAAACCTAAAATTGTTATGGATTTGTGTACTAATGTATTGATTTTGAACAAAAATTTTGCAATTTTCATAAACTTCATTAGCATTGGTGTATCAGTTAGTCCACAGCTCATGGGTGTACGCAATCCGGACATCATATCAAATACCGACATAAATGTCGGTGAAACACCTGTCCAGTGATTATAGTAATAAATACATTGTATTATTAGACACAATAGTGTACCAAGAATTCCCGGTATACGGATTACGTCGGGATTACCAAAATAATAGAAAAAGTCGCCAAACAGTAGATGTATTTCCAGTGATACCCGATCGCGGGTAATGATCCATGTGTTACATGCAATAAAATATACGAAACATGTGGATATCAAATACGGATGTCTTGTCCAGTGTCGGGGTGTGGATGTCGGCGGCCGATTTGGACACAACCCGATTGCATATAACTGACTGCACGCGCGTTCAATGCGTAACTCGTGTGGAAAAATTGCATCAATTCTGATGGCATCATTAATTTCATTTAATCGTATATTCATATTATTATTATTATTATTTTGTTAAAACTGATATTATAATAATATTGTGTTCATATAATACTTTATAATAATATTATCAAAAAATCTTTATTTTATATATAAATTTTTAACTTTTAATTATTTAAAAGTTAAAGTAATTATATCTTATGTTTTATGGCATTTATTAAAAACTAGTTATTAATATTATTTTCAAATAGTTAATAATATGAAGTTTATAGTTGACATTTAAATAAATTTATAACTACTTTTAGTTGATATTATAATAATTTTGTTAAATTTTTTTTGTAGTTTCAATGTTATAAATGACAACTTTTATTTGATGACAATAAATAAGATCAATAGATAAAACATATTATTATTTAGTAAAAGCCTATTTTAAAATACAATTTATAATAGTATATATTTTATTTATTTTAATACAAACATTAAATTTATTGTTTACTTTAAATATAGTTGTATTTAAGTGCAAAAATTTAATGGAAATTTTATAGTAAATAAAAAATATTTTATTATTTGTTTAAAAAATTTTCAAGAAAATATATATTTTTTACAAATTATGATCTAAATGTTTTTATTATTCATAAAAACAATTTAGATATTATTTATTTTTAAATTATGACTTATTAAAATTCGCTATAAATGCACCAATTATTTATTAAAAACTATTTTATTGTTATTATATTTATTAGCATAATAAATAAGATTATAAACAATTTATATAAATTGTATTAATTGCACATAATTATAGTAATTATTTAATTTATGTTAAAAATATCATATATATAATATTTCATAATATTAGAAACATTAAAAGTTCATTTTATAACTTATTATATTTGTATAATTAGATACTTATAATACTATATATTGTAGTAATTTGTAATTTTATTTGTTTTACTTGATTATGATTTAGTTTAAATTAAATTAAAAATTATTTATTTATTTGTTTAATTAATTAATTAAATCTAGTCTTATTAAAAAATATACTCTACATACTGTATATTTGTAAATTAATAAAAATTAATTATATAAATACAAACTAAATAATAATCCTTGAACTTTATTAAGTTTTAATAATAATCTATTATTATTATTGTTATTTTAATAAAATTCTAGATATATACTTTTTTAGGTGCAATACAATTTTAGATATTTTATACTAAAAATAATAGTTAAAACTACTAAATTTTTATTGAAATAAACATTTTTTGTATATTTTAAATATTAATAACAAAAAAAATTTTTTATACGGTTATATAACTAAATAATAAAATTATAATAGATTTTTTTATTAAAGTATTTATCTAATGAATACATAATTAAGTTGCAAAATATTTTATTAAATAAATATCTATATAAATGCTACTTAACTTTTTTAGTTTTTTTAATGAGAGATTAGTAGTTTACTATTAGTAAACAAAAAAATGTTTTAAAACATTTTTCCCTAATTATAAGTCAAATAAAAAAGATAGTCTTACATGAGTGATGTATTGTAAAAGTTTTATTTTGTAATACAATTATACATAATAATGATTATACTATATATTAGTATTACATTTATTAACAAAACACTATATAAACAAATAATAATAATAATAATAATAATAAAAGTATTTTATTAATTACTAACTATTTTCTAATCAGATTTTTTTATATATTATATAACATAAAATAGTATTTTATTGCGAAATAATTGTTAAATATTTTGAAATGAACTAAATGTAAATTTATTTATTTTATTATTTGTTTTATTTTGTTGAAAAAATGTTTACTATCAAAAAAACTGATTAGTAAACTAACAAATTATTATTATTTTATTTTCATTATTATTTTGAATTTTAGTTGAAAAAACTTTTCTTTTTTGTTTATTTATTAAATGGTTTAGAAATAGTTATTTAAATTTGTTAAGTTTATATATTTATTTTAATAATACTATCAAAAATATTTTATAAAATTATAAATTAATAACAATGTGTTCAGGAAATCAACAAACAATTATTAAAGGCAAAAATCCTATTATTTTTAATAATATTAATAATCATAATAATAATCATATTGATTATGATACTAATAATAATATTAATGATAATAATAATAGTGTTAATAACAATTATTCAAAATATAAATTGCAAATTGTTTGGCCAAATGTTATTATAATGATTGCATTACATATTGCAACTATAGTAGGTTATTGGCAAATGGTTAATGGTAAGTAATTAAATCAAAAAATAAATAAATATTGTGATAAATATATATCAAATAAATAAATAATAATTTGTTAAATATGTTAAATAAATAAATTTAATAATAATACTAATAATAGTAAGTTATCCAACCTAATAAATATATACTATTATTATTATTATACAGTATAAATTCAATTTTTATATTAAGTGATTTTTTTTATTTAAATAATTATTACAAAAAAAAATCTTTTAGATAAAATACAATTAGCTAAAATAATATTTATATAAACTGGATTAAATAATACAGGTAATTTTTTTATAGATATATTTATAAATTAAAAATTTTCATTAATATTACTTAATAATTATTTTTAAATTAAATATTTTTTTAATAATATTATAATAATTATTAAAATAGTGATATTATATATAAGATTATTGATTAATATATTGATTTTTTTGTGGATTTTAAAGGTTCGGCAAAGCGGTTATCGGGAGTTTTCTTCTTTTTGGTGGCCATTATGAGTTCGTTCGGTATACTGGCCGGCGCTCATCGACTGTGGTCTCATCGGGCCTATCGGGCCAAGTGGCCGTTACGGGCGCTGTTGGCCGCCCTGCAAACAATGGCCTTACAAAACAGCATCTACGAGTGGTCGCGCGATCATCGGGTACATCACCGATACTCGGAAACCGATGCCGACCCACACAATGCCAAACGCGGCTTCTTTTTCGCTCACATGGGTTGGCTGTTGTGCCGCAAACATCCCGATGTCCAACAAAAAGGCAAACTTGTCGACATGTCTGACCTATGGTGTGACTTATATTTATACTATATTTTTTGATTTATTTACTTTTTTTAGTTTTATATTTTGATAAATATTTATTTAATTTTTTTTACTTTACTTAGTCTTTATAATATGTATTTTTATTTAATTATTTTTAACTCTCTAATAGTATGCTATAGTGTTATAATATCATATTTACATTGATATAATGTATAATATTTTAATAACCAGAAGACATTATTTAGTATAATATGAAAATTTTGTTTTAAAATTTATTTTATTTAAAGTTTTAATTAAATTATTATTTTTTAATATATGTTTTTTAAAAAATAAATTAGGTCCGACCCAATCGTACGGTTCCAAAAACAATACTATATACCATTGGTGGCCATATTCTGGTTTGTCATACCTGTATCGTTGCCAATCTACTACCTGGGTGAAACATGGCAAAACTCAATATTGTTAAACTGTTTCCGATATGTGCTTAGCCTACAAAATACATGGTTAGTCAACTCGTTGGCCCACATGAAAGGCTATCAGCCATACGATAGGCATATCAGTCCCCGAGAAAATCATACAGTTGTAAGTTATTATTATCATTATTATTGTTATTTTAATCTAATTTAATTACTACTAGTTATGAATTAATTGTATTTTTTTTTATGTTATACTTATAATAATACCGATAAAATTATTTATTATTATTATTTAGTCAAATTATAATAGTATTTAATCGATTATACAGTAATATTTATGAATAAGTATAATATTATTATTATTTTAATTTTGTGTTTTGATTTTTTTTAAATATATTTTTTTAATTTCATACAAAATTTCTGCCTGTATTTACGCAACCAGACTTATCTATCGTTAGGTATGTAATAATAATAATATTATTATTATTAAGCAGTATTTTGTATGTTATATATATATATTTAAATAAATATTATGTAATTTCAAGAATTAAAAAAATAAATTATTTTATTTATTTTTTTTTGTTGGTTTTAATGCTAATAAACTGTAAATCTGTTTCTCTATCTCTCCTAAAGGTGAAGGCTATCATAATTATCATCACACGTAAGTTTGTTTGTTTATATCCAATAACCACAACAAAAATAATAATAATAATAATTTTATTTCAAATAAAAGTAGTTTATAGTATTTTTTTTTTGATGATATAGATACTGTTAATCTTGAAATACAAATTTTTGTTAATTATATTTTTGTTTAAATCAAAATATTTCCTTTAAATCAAATAACTAAACATTAAGAAAGAAAAAAATAATTGAGAAAAATATTAAACAACTAATAATTTGCTCTAAAATTAATTGTTAATTTGATAATTTAAAAAATTAGCAAAAATCTTATTATATTTAATATAAAAATTAATAATTATATATAAATAAGCAGAAAATCTTTTTTACTCATACATTATTTACATATAATTTGATTATTTTTTAAATTTAGAAATTTATAAATTTTATATAGATATTGAATAAACATTTTATAGAATTATTGAAATAAATAAAAACACAAATTATAATTATTTTGTTAAAAAAATTATACTAATCTAAAATATTACAATTTTTAAATAAGTTAAATATCTGTATAATTTAACAACAAAAAAAACATATATTTATTTATCTATATATATAACTATAACTAGATTTCCGTGGGACTACTCGGCCTCGGAGTTGGGCTGGAAGGACAACTTCAATCCGGCCACTGCTTTCATAGATTTTTTTGCATGGATTGGTTGGGCCTACGACCGCAAGACACCGTCGCCGACAGTGGTCAACATGCGAATGGCCCGAACTGGCGGTTACAGTAGACTACAATGTCGGCTATCGTTGAGCTCACTGTCCATTTTGTTGGACTTTATATTAGGTTTACTATGGATAACTTGGCCACTATGGACAGCCAATTTGCTTAACTATATCTTATATTAGACTATTACAATATTTTGTATAATATCTCATACAATAGATTAGATTATATCTGTAAATTTATATTAATTATATAATTAATTTACAAATAGTTAATTTTTCCGAAAAAATCACTTTAGTGAACATTAGGATTGATTTGTAATTAAGTTTTTTTTTAAATTAATTACTATAATTTAAATTTAGACATAAACATAGTAAACATAGTGTTTATTTACTATTTTAGAATTTTTATTTTAAACTACACTATTTATAATATCTCTTTTATAATTTTGTTGCAAAAAAATTGTAATTTTTATACTAATGTAAAACAATGTAACAATAATATACAATATTTTCCTTAGATTACTAGCATTTTAATGTTAATAACTAAATAATTTATTAATATATATATGTATACATGTATATAATTATAATTACACTAAACTATATGCTTTTTTTGTTAAATTTAATTATAAATTTTACGGTTTTTACAAAAAAATAAATAAAATTATAAATAATTTGAAACAAGGAAAAATTTTGGAGCAATAATTATAAAATATTTTTTTAATTATTTATTATTTATTAATAAATATTCTTTTAATTATTTATTATTTATTAATAAATATTCTTTTAATTATTTATTATTTATTAATAAATATTCTTTTAATTATTTATTTTTTATTAATAAATATTTTTTTAATTATTTATTATTTATTAATAAATATTTTTTTAATTATTTATTATTTATTAATAAAAATTTTGTTATTATATTTATTGAAAACAATAAATAGTAGTTTAGTTAGATTTTAGTTTTTAATGTAAATTATATTTTTTTAAATGTAAACTAATTATTTTAAAACAGACAAAAACAAAATTATATATTTATATATATATCATAATTGTATTAATTATATAGAATAATATATATATACTATATATATATATTTAATATACTAATCAGGGTTAGACAAGTTTTTTTGGTCTAAGGGAATGGATACTGATTGAGATAAAATGGTAATTTTTTTTTTTGGAAAATGTTCTGGGTAAACTAAAGATTTTTATTAGATTTTTTTTAATCAATGAGAAATCCATAAGAAAAAAATGCTTATAAATTCCTAATCTTGCCATTTAAATTATCAATAAACAAAAAATTCAAATAAAAAAAATATTCAAAATAAATTCCCTTATATTCCAGAATATTTATTTTTAATTAAGAAAAGTAAAGGAGATTATTTTTATTTAAAATGCAAAAACAAAACAAAAATAATAATTAATAAAACATTAATATATCTAATTATAAACTCCCCCCTACCCCCCATCACTTAACCCTGAATCTAATATATAAGTAAATACAAATAATTTTATGGTAATTATAATAATTATTATTATTAGATTTCTTAGTAATAAAAGTTAATAACAAATTAATATATGATAATTAATTTAATGAATGTTAAGAAATATAAACTTGATATATAATATATATATAATAATAATACTAATAATAATAATATACCTGTATATAATTAAAAACCTTGAGCAAAGTTATTGAAATTTTTGTATGATTTGCAAAAATGATATATAAAACAAACTAATAATAATTAAGACCGTTTTTCTACAGTTTTAATTTTTTAGACATTTTATTTAATAATAAAATTTAAAAATTATGATAAAGTTATTAAAATTAAATATATTTATTTTTATAAAATTCATAAAACTGTTATTTTAAATAAATAATTGAATGTTTTTTGTTTATTTAAAAAAAAATCTTTTTAATAAAACATGTTAAACAATAATTTATCTATGACTAATAAAATAATTAAATATAATTTATTATTAATAATTTTGTGTATAATTAGTAATATTTTAATATTCAATACAAGTGTCGATTGTTATGAAACTAATAATAAAATTAATAATAATTGTATTCAAAGTTTTGACAACAAAAACAACTGTAAAGTAAATGACAACAAAAATCAAACAAAAAATGTCGAATATTTGTCAAAAATATTTCTCAAAACTCTTCAATTGTTTGGCAAAAATCAAATCACTGATGACTTCAGTGATGATAACAATTTAGTTGAAAATAATTTTCTAAACTTAAATCAATTTTATGACCAAATAGTTGATAATATTAAGCCAATTGAAAGTCGTTTGAAACAAACATTTGTTGAATTTTTATTATCACTCAATATATCTGATCAATGTTTTCAATCAGTAATACATGTGACACAAGCTATGAAATCAAGTGAATTGTGGGCTTATAAATGTATGAATGATTTAATATTTATTGATACATGTTATATGTTATGCCAAATGTAGATTAAATCAATAAATCATAATATAATTTTGTTATTTAACTGTTAATTAAAAAATATGAATTGAATTTATAGTTTTGGATGCATCGGGAAAAATACCGGCGGCTATACTGGAAGGTGTGTTAACCAGTTTCGGTGATTATGACCAATGTTTGGCCATTAAAAGTAGTGAACTAATTAATACTAATAATGAAGATAATAGTCGCCAACACATCTATGGCCGATATTGTCTAATCAGACCATACGTACAAATCAATGATTATCGTATCATTGAAGATATTGCCAAAAAATATTTGCTAACTAATAATGAAAACTATTTTAATCTAACCATAGGAGACATTAAAAAACATTTAAATACATTAAAAATTTTATCCACATTAAACTTATTGTCAAATAATTTTTATTTATTTAACTATGGCTTATGTATACCATCTCAATGTGATAAACATGATATTAAATCGGCGCTAAACAAATGTAAATTTTTTTTATTTATAATTTATATTATATTTATATTTGAAGTTTATTTTTTTGATAAATTTATGTATTTTAAATTAGTAGTAAATCCGATAATAAACTTGCCAATAGAAATAGGACCAAACAAATGTGATACTGTTACCGATACCATTGAATTAAATCAATTTCAATTAGTAATAGTGTAAGTACAGTAATACATGACATTAATAAATTTGATTTAAGTTAATTAATAATTAATTATCTATCTGTTATATTATAATAAATTTGGATAGTATTATAGTAATCACAATATTATCATTGGTAATCATTTGTACGATAATACATATTATCTTAAATTTGCGCACAACTGATAATATTTTAGTATATCAACCGATACCTAAAACCAAAACTATTGATATAATCAAATCATTTTCAATGATAACATCCGTCAAACAGTTGGTCAGTCCATTGGGTGACCGTTTGCTAGTTGTAGATCTGTTGATAATATTTTATACGATTTGGTCGATCGTGACTATGGCCTACATTTTAATACCGAATTCAGGGTTTGTTGGCTTTAAAAATATAATAAATAGTTTTGTACTGAATCTCATCAAAGATATCAAATATTTTTGGTTACGTATATTTTTCTATCGTGACATGGTCGTATTTTTGAGGTATCATTATAAAATCATTATAATTAATTATACATTTTTTATACAAAATTAATTTTACAATTTTGTAAGTGGTGTTATCATATCGTATGACTATTTTGGTAAACATCAGTCAATACCTGTAACTGTTTGGCAATATATGAAATTTGTTGCGGAAAAATGGTTACGATTTATGCCAAAAATGTTTGCACCGATTATTGTCATAACAATAATGTCGATGATAGGCAATGGACCGGGATGGCATATTGGTCGGGTACAATTTGTAGATGCCTGTTCACAAACATATTGGCACAACCTATTGTTTATGACATTTTTGGAAAATGATCTAACTAAATCTGTACAAAAAGCTTTATATCAATACTATATAATTAAAATTTTTATATTAATATACAAATAATAATAATATTTTATTGTATACTTTTTTCCTACTGTTAGTGTAATCAAATGTCAGGTGTTATTTCAATGATATTTGATTTGCAAATATTGTCGCCAATATTTATGTTACCGTTCACAAAGTCACCAAAATTTGGCTACATTTTCAATACACTGGCACTGATACCGGCATTTGTGGCCAAAATATTACCAAATGTATTGTTTGGCACAAAACTGATACCCTATGAAGCGGCTGATAGCTATCTACTCGATAATATGCGTTATTCAGTATCCAGGTCAATTATATATCCCGATCAATATTTATCATTGTTTATCATTGGTATTATGTTAGGCTATAGTTTAAGGAATCGACATAAATACCGGTTCCTGCAATCAATTTACCGAAACATATATCTAAGATCATTGTCGGCAATGATTTGTTTGTCGACTTCCGTATTGGGTATTGTTTGGAGTGAAAACTTCAAAGACATGAATGAAATACAAAATAAAGCCAATCTATATCTATGGTATGTTTTCGGCATAATTTTGTGGTCAATCGGTAACATTTGGATTATAATTGATCAACATTTTCATAAAAACGGTTTTTAAATATATATATATATTTTTTTTAAATTTAACTTAATGTTATTTATATTATAATTATTTTAATACTGGTTTTAATTATTTGTATGATTAGGTTATCTCATGAGTTCATTGTCGTCGTCCAAACTGTTCAGAGCTGTGACCCGATTATCAATGGGTGTGCTATTGATTAGTACAAGTGTTATATATTTTAGACAATTTGTCAAAAGAGAAACCATTGATATCAGTCACTTAATACAAGTAAGTTTTATAATTTTTTTTTTAATTAAATTAATAGTCATTTAATGTATTTTAAAAATATTTTTTAATTTTTATAATTTACAGATACAATACATAGCTGTGGATCTGATAGTGATGTTAATTATTTCATTTATAATATTTATATTTATTGAGTGTCCTATCATTAATTTGTTACAATTAGTCAAACAAAATAAAAAACTTAATATTAATAATAATAATAATAATAATAATAATAGAGACGAAATTGAACTGAAATTTGTTTTTAATAGTGAAAGTATTAATGATAATTAATAATTGTTATTATTATATTTAATATTTAGTAATTATAAATTAATTTTGTAAAATAGATTTTGTTATAAATAAATAATTTGTTATTTTTAAAAAAAATGTTATTGTCTAATAAGATATAAATTTACAATAAACAATATTAAACATTACGGTAAGTTATTAATATTGAAAATATTAATAATAATTATATTTAGTTATTTGATTTAATTTTTTTTTAAATTATAATTTTACTTTAGATTTTTCAATTTGTGCTTAATATACAACAAATTGTATAATAGACTATTAGGAACTAATTGATTAAAATATAATATAGTTAAATAAATTGTGTATAGGGAGTGGGGGTGGGGTGCAAGTTAGCTCAATCATACACTAAAAAAATATGAAAGTAGTGGCCTGATTGAAGTTTGCCTTCCAGCCCAAACTCATAGGCCTAGTAGTACCACATAATACTAGTTATATTTATGTTGTGTTTCTTGTGTGTAAAAGTATAGAATAATTTAAATTATTTGCAATAATAACAATATTTTAGATTTCATAAACAGTTTATAAATGTCTGTATTGTATATTTGCTTAGATTGATAAATATTGTGCGAAAAACTTTTTGTAAAATAAATAAATTTTAAAGTATAAATTATTATAAATTTAATGCAAACAATATATATATAGAATAATTTATTATTTATTTAAATATAATTATTATTATATAGAATAAAATTACTTTTAAAAATTTGCTGTTAATTTTTTAATGAAATTTATTTTAAAATTCTCAAATAAACAATTAAGTAATTTTAGATATAATTATTAATATATATATATAATACTTTTCTAATGGATTATCAAATAAGTTATTTAAGTTTACATATCTATATAAAAATATATTTAAATTTTACTAATTTCATAATAGAAGTTTACTTTATATTAAAATTTTTCTAACTTATTTACAAATGTTATATTTACAAAACATAAATACAGAAAATATTGTTTATTTAATAGTTAATAACTTATATTTTTCAACAAATAACTATACTATTTATATCTTTTTTTTAATACTTTTGTTTAATTAATATAATTTGTATAACAATGTAATATAATATAATTTAAAAGTTTACTATCATTTTAATGTTAAATTTTAATATACATATTAATTTAAATACATGTACTTTACTACACAAAATATTGTTTTAACAAATTTTATGATTTAACTAAAAATTTAATATTATAAAATAAAATATTTTAATAAATTGCAACAAATTTTAAATCACATAATTTTTAAATGTTATTTTTGTTATTGTTTTATAATAATTATTAATATACTAATATATAATCCATATATATCGGTATACAGTATATTACAAACCTTGAAATAAGTAATTCAAATATTTTTTAAAAATTTATCAACAAAGTTATCTGAAACAAATTAATACTGTATCATTTTAACGTATTTTACCTTATTTTTAACGTTTTAATTATGCGAAATATTATGATAACATAAAAATTGTTTTTATAATAAACTTGTTTTTAAACTCAATAATAAAATTATAAAAATTATGTAAAAGTTATAGCAAATAAAAATAATTTTAAAGTAATTTAATAGATATTAATAATTGAATGTTTAAAAAAAACTTTAAAAAACTTCTTTAAAAAAAATTTAATAATTATGTTTAACATTAGTTTATTTTTAATCAATAAAATGTTTAATCATAATTTTATATTAATTTTTTTAATAGTTATTAGTATTAAAATATTCAATACAAGTGTCAATTGTTATGAATCTAATAATAATAATAATTGTATTAAAAGTTTTGATAACAAAGACAACTGTAAAGTAAATGACAATAAAAATCAAACAAAAAGTATACAAAATCTTTCAAAAATATTTCATAAAACTCTTCAATTGTTTGGCAAAAATAAAATCACTGATAACTTCAGTAATGATAACAATTTAGTTGAAAATAATATAATAAACTTAAATCAATTTTATGATCAAATAGTTGGTAATATTAAGCCAATTGAAAGTCGTCTGAAAGAAACATTTTTTGAATTTTTATTATCACTCAATATATCTGATCAATGTTTTCAATCAGTAATACATGTGACACAAGCTATGAAATCAAGTGAATTGTGGGCTTATAAATGTATGAATGATTTAATATTAATTGATATATAATTAATATAATTTTATTAAAATTGTTAATTAAAAAATATTAATTGAATTTATAGTTTTGGATGCATCGGGAAAACTACCAGCGGCTATACTGGAAGGTGTGTCCACCAGTTTCGGTGATTATGACCAGTGTTTGGCCATTAAAAGTAGTCAAATAATTAATACTAATAATAATGATATTAGTCGCCAACACATCTATGGCCGATATTGTCTAATCAGACCATATGTACAAATCAATGATTATCATGTCATTGAAGATATTGCCAAAAACTATTTGTTAACAAATAATGAAAACTATTTCAATCTCACTAAACGAGACATTGAAAAACATTTGAATACACTAAAAGTTTTGAATACATTGAACACATTGTCGACTAATTTTTATCTATTTAACTATGGCTTATGTATACCATCGCAATGTGATAAACATGATATTGAATCAGCACTAAACAAATGTAAGATTTTATATATATATATATTTTTTTGTATTTAATTATTTTTCTTAGAAATTTATAATGTTTGTTTTTTATCAATTAGTACTAAATCCGATAATAAACTTACCGATAGAGATCGGGCCACATAAATGTGATACTGTTACCGATGTCATTGAACTAAATCAATTTCAATTAGTTATATTGTAAGTGATATTGTATTAATAAAATTTTGTTATTGTTTATCTAATTTTTGTTAGAATTATAGTATTAGCAATAGTATCAGTGGTAATGGTTTGTACGATAATACATATTATCTACAATATTAATGTTAAAAATATAGTACATCAGCCCATACCTAAAACAAAAACTATTGACATAATCAAATCATTTTCAATGATAACATCCATCAAACAGTTGGTCAGTCCATTGGGCGACCGTTTGCTGATTGTAGACCTGTTGGTAATATTTTATACGTTTTGGTTAATCGTAGCTCTGGTCTACTCTATAATCCCCTGTTCAGGGTTTGTTGGCTTTAAAAATGTTAACAATAGTTTTGCAATTAATATCATCAATGATATCAAATATTTTTGGTTGCGTGTATTTTTCTATCGTGATATGATTATATTTTTAAGGTATCAAAACTATTAAAAACTTTTTTTTTACATATATTAAGTGTTTAAAAATTATTTTTTTACAATTTTGTAAGTGGTGTTATCATATCTTATGACTATTTTGGTAAACATCAGTCAATACCTCTAACTGTTTGGCAATATATGAAATTTGTTGCGGAAAAATGGTTACGATTTTTGCCGAAAATGGTTGCACCAGTATTTGTCATAACAATAATGTCGGTGATAGGCAATGGACCGGGATGGCATATTGGTCGGGTACAATTTGTCGATGCCTGTCCACAAACATATTGGCACAACCTATTGTTTATGACATTTCTAAACAATGAATCTGTTATTGCTGTATACAACTTTATAATATACAATAGTAAAAAATTTAAAATACTAATAATAATTTTTTATTAACTATCTATTATTAGTGTAATCAACTAGCCTGGATCGTAGCAATAATATTTGATTTGCAACTATTGTCGCCTATATTTATGTTACCGTTTAAGAGGTCAGCAAAATTTGGCTATATTTTCAATACACTGGCACTAATACCAGCATTTGTGGCCAACATATTACCAAATGTATTGTTTGGCATAAAACTGATACTATATGAAGCTGCGGATCTCTATCTACTCGATAATATGCGCTATTCATTAGCCAGATCACTTATATATCCCGATCAATATTTATCATTGTTTATCATTGGTATTATGTTAGGCTATAGTTTAAGAAATTTACAAAAATACCGATTCCTGCAATCAATTTACCGAAACATATATCTAAGATCATTGTCGGCAATGATTTGTTTGTCGACTTCTATATTGGCTATCGTTTGGAGTGAAAACTTTAAAGACATGAATGAAATACAAAATAAAGTCAATCTATATCTATGGTATGTTTTCGGTAAAATTTTGTGGTCAATCGGCAACATTTGGATTATAATTGATCAACATTTTCATAAAAACGGTTTTTAAATATTTTTTTTTAAAGTTTAACTTTATGTTATTTATATTATTATTTATTTTAATACTTGTTTTAATTATTTGTATGATTAGGTTATCTCATGAGTTCATTGTCGTCGTCTAAACTGTTCAGAGCTGTGACCCGATTATCAATGGGTGTGCTATTGATTAGTACAAGTGTTATATATTTTAGACAATTTATCAAAAGAGATACCATTGATATCAGTCACTTA